TCAAAATAATATATCCCAGAGGTAGTGGGGAAGAGAGGAGGGTACAAATAAAACAAGATTGGTTATGAGCTCATAATTGTTGAAACTGGCCAATAGGTCAATCAGGATCTGTTTTACTGTTCTATTTTGATATGTTTGAAAATTTCCAAAATAAACGTCTAAAAGTGACTTTGACTGTTTCTTTGCACAATAGTAAGTACATTAGTTTACCCCGATGCCAAATAGCATAGTTTACAGCTATCAATTTAATACATAATAAAATAAGTACTTTAACAGATAAGGCATGCAATGAAGAAAATATGTAGGTCACAGGTCATCTCAAAGTTAATAAATTTCACATTGAGGACCAGTAGAGCCAAAATTTAGCTTTATTGAAAAATGTTTGGCAGACAAATAACTTATAACCAAATGTCCAAAGTATTGTACAAATGGTTTTATAGCATTAACTCTGATACATTAAACTGCTTATGAAAAAATGTCTGGGGAAAAAGTGAGATTAAATAATAAAACTGATTTTTAAAAAGATAATGATTATACTCTTGTAGAAAATGTAAAATTGCTTTTCTCTTAAAAATAGTTTAAATACAAGTTTATTAAAATCTACTTCACAATACTTTTCAAATGAAATTAATAAAAATAGCCCAAGGAATTAATAAAAACTATATTTTCAGAGTCCAGTACAGGAAAAAATTACTAACTTAGACTTTTCTCTTCAAAGATGAAGTTCACTCACTAAAAATCATTAGATGACTATGCAAGGCTAACGTTCAGTTAGTGATCACAAAGTCAGAAGTACACAAAGAACAGAACTAAGTACTACAGTTTATAAAAGTGAAATGAACATTGACAACACCAAGTGTTTTTGGAAACTGAGAAAGAATAAATAAAGTGCTGACACTGCAGTGTCATGTGCCCTCTGCTCATGAAAGTATGTTTGTCTTAAAAGAAACAAGAAAAGAGCTAGGTAAAAAGGCCACACCACTTAATGTTACACAGCCAGCAGAATTGACTTTGTTTTAAAAAAGTACCCAGAGGCCACACATCATCATCACTCTCATGAACGGCTGTACTGGTTCACTTTCATGGCAGAGAAAATATGAAGACACCTCACTGGGGATCCACCATGGTGTCACAAAGCCTCTGAAGTGCTGTGGGCTGACCGCACCCCTTAAGCGAGGGGGTGACCTCATGCACTGCTGTCTTCCAAAGACACCCCCTGAAACACGTGAGCTGATAAGAAAGCAAGCCTGCCTCCTACCCCGTCAGGAATTCTGTCATCGCTGCTGGTGGTGCTCAGCATGTGCTAAAGACTACTGACTGTTAGACGAAGCTGCAAGTCAGAGAAGATTGGGGGGTGGGAGGTTCCTCTGCATCACTCACAGGTAAATTGTGTTTCTCAGTAACAATTAGACTTTAAATGGAGACAGATGTGAGACTGATGCTTTGTGACCAAGCCTTTTGTTGCAGAATCACTAAACATGAGGAAAGCTGCAGTAGCTGTGTCATGACCTTTTCCTATTCTCACAGAAACATCACAAGTAATCTGATGACCCCGAACATACAAAGCAAATAATTTAAGAATAATGTCAGTGCTAATAATTATGTCAATATAATAATTATGTCAATAAACATACCAATAACTGAAGAAAATATTAATTTTAACAAAATTAAACTATCCCTGAAAACAGGTTACATTTTGTATGGCAATGCCACATAGAACTGCTTATGTGTTGTGCAGACATGATACTTTCTTTTTTTTTTGAATCCTCACCCGAGGACATTTTTTTCCATTTTTTGTTCAGATAGGGTGGGAGGGAGGGAGAAAGAGAGAGAGAGAGAAACATCGATGTGAAAGGGACACATCAAGTGGCTGCCACCCACACGACCCAAACCAGGGCCAGGGACAAACTGCAACCGAGTTACGCGCCCTGAGCGGGAACCAAACCCAGGTCTCTCTGGACCACAGGCCGACGCTCTAACCGTTGAGCCAAAGCGGCCAGGGCGGTACTTTCTTTTTAATTCAGATGTAACTGCTCAAAATTTAGGGAGTGCACAAAACTACCATGTGAGAACTCACAGGACGTAAGAAAATGAGTGTTAATATATTCATTTTAATTCAATTAAACAAGTATGAATATTCACTGTGTACTATTTATTAAAAAATGAACAAAAATAATAATGGAAACTAGAACATCATAAGATTTGCTTTCCTATTGAAAAATAATTTTAGAAAAAATAATAACAAAACCATATAGCAAATATTTGGCAGAAAACAAACTGAGGAGTGACCTGCACGTTCAGTAAGGCTGTATACTAACAACATAAAAATAAAGAGACAGTGAGACAGAAGGTGGAGGTGGGCCACCCAAGGAGAGAGGCAGTTATCAGGATGGCTGGCAGAGCGCAGGCTCTTCTGTCTAGTCGTCCGAGGACTGGGGTAAGAGGGAGGTTACACTCAGTGCTGCTAAGAGCTGTCGAACAAATCTGAGAGAGACCTGGAACCCGTTTATACCACTGTAAGGCTAAGAACCCAGTAAGGGCAATATCTGAGTACTGCATATTGTTACTTTAAGTAGAAAATAAAAAGATTTTTAAAATTCTTCTGATATCTGCCCTTTGGAATCTGCATCTTTCAGTAATTGTTCTATTAAAATACTTAAATAATTTGAAGTCTGGGAATGTGAAAAGAAGCTCCTCACATCTTTATTTAAAAATTCCTCCAATACAGAGTAATAAGAAAACAGAAACAAAATATATACATACACATAACATATACATGTACTAAAGAGGAGAGGCTAAACGTGTACTAGGGGTTCAGAGGAAAGCAAAGCCACCTTGTCAGTGTGATTAGGAGGACGTCCTGGAAGGAGCACTCAGCTCAGAGGCAGGCCCCGAAGTGTGCACAGGTGAGCCAGGAGTGATGATGACCAGGCTGATGCTACTAGCAAAGGCACCTCTGCGAGCTCCCAGGAGGTCATCCGTATAGTTAGTAAACAAATATTTACTGAATAAGTACTAGGTACCAAGTAGTGGTCTAAATGCTGGACATACAGAGGAGGATGCAAGATTTTGTTTGTGAATTTGCAAATTTGTGGACTCTTGTGGTGGAATTTCTCACCTGAACTGAATAGAATATTATCCCTTCATGTTTCTCTGCAGGAATCCCTGTTGGGAATGTAACATAATATATATGGTACACATACTATATTATCTTTCTAAAACCCCAAAATATTCAACTTCAAGTCATCTGGGCCCAAGAGTTTTAAATAGAGACAAGATCCAAAGTGCCAGAGGCTGCTGACTGAGGTCTCAAGAATGAGAGAATGATCATTTGTTGTTGAAAGTCAGATTTGTTCACTTAAAGTCATAAACCATGCTTACCACTAAAGGTCAATTTTATCAACAATGTTGTGATAATTAAGAGTGGACTATGATCTTATGGATTTAGCTTTAAAAGCTCTCAGAATAAAGGCCAGTGTATAACATTCTCCCTTGAAATACTTCTTTCACGAACGAAACAGGAGTAGTTGTCACAGGTTGAATCTAAAGCACCATGCCTATTCTCCAATGGCCCTGGCACTTCTTCTGGTCAATGGCTGGTCCAGTGAGGCCTGAGTGACAAAGGGGAATCAGCCCCATGAAGATGTAGGAGAATTACTGTCTACGCAAAGGGAAAAACAGTACTGAAGAGGCCCTGAAGTGGAAGGGTTTGGGAAGTCTGGGCAACAGAAAGGCGCACTTTGTTGGAGAGCAGGTGGAGAGGTGGGTGGTGGAGAGGTGGGTGGTGGAGGTGCACCAGGGGATGGGCAGGGGCCAGCACTGAGCTGCTCCGCAGATTTTACTGTAAGGATAATGGGAATATATTGCAAGGATTTAAAGCACGAAACTGATAGGATTTGATTCAAATTTTAAAAAGACATATTTGGGATATAAACTATAATCCAGTTTTCAGACAATAGAGAAGTATATAAAAAGGTAATGGGAGTTTAGAAAAAAAGATCAATTATGGCCAACTGTAGGTAAAAGGCCTTATATGACTCTCTCCCTTCCTCTATCTAAAATAAATTTAAAAAATTAATAGGTAGCTTGGTTTTATGTTTTGCACACTATTTCATACAAAGAAATTACTATTTGATTAATCAAAGAATTTATTTGATTCAGCAAGCAATAGTTTTGTTTTTCCCCTCACCTGAGAATATGTTTTTATTGATGTTAGAGAGTTAGAGAGGGAGAGGGAGAGAGAGAAAGAGAGGGAGAGAAGGAGAAACACTGATCGGTTGCCTCATATAAGTGCCCCGACCAGGTAGCGAACCAGCAACCCAGATATGTGCCCTGACCAGGAATCGAACCTGCCACCTTTTGGTGTACGGGATGATGCTCCAACCAACTAAGCCACCTGGCCAAGGCACAATAGTTATTTTAAAAATATATATGATAAAGTTATGTGACTTTCATTTGATATCACAAAGATAATACTGAAAGTGTATCAGTCATTCTCCTGCAGGTCAATTGTCTTTGCTAAATTACTATGATAATCTTACTCCTACACATTTTCTTTCTATCCTTCACTTTCAGCATCAATAATTAGGTCTTTCTTATGTAGAACTACCCAGACCTCTTAAATTTTTTGATGATGGTCACAAAATCATTGCATAAACTGTTCAAGTCTATTATATCTATGCAATAAAGGAATATTGCAAGAAGTATGCATCACTAAAAATGATCAAATATTATAAGGTATAATTATTCTCCAGAATTTAAAAATAACGAAGTCATTAATTAGTCATAATTAAAAAGTGTACTAAATTCTAAACTATCAAGAAATGTGTTTAAGCTAATAAATAGTTACAATCAAGGTAATCCCTTAGTAAATATAAGAAATGTGAATAAAAAGAAAAATATTTTAAGCATATGTTAATTGATAAAAAGCATATCCATATTTATTATTCTAGATATATCAGACTACTTTTAGAGAACTTGGAGAACTTGAAACCATTCACCTGTTGGAGGCAGGCAGTCCTTCCAATCAAAATAGCCTGCATAAATTCCAGGTTCTAAGGAGCCAACGATGGGATCTGCTTTCAATTCAATGTAATTCTCAAATAGTCTTTGGTCTAACTCTTTCAGTGAGGCCATGCTAACCTAAAAACATATAATAAAGAGTAATTATAAGTTGTCCATTTAAGGGTGATGGAAAAGGTAATAATGTAAATTTAAAAATACTTCAGCATAGCCCGGCCCGTGTAGCTCAGTGGATTGACTGTCCCATGGACTGAGAAGTCCCAGTTCGATTCCTGGTCAGGGCACATGCCTGGGTTGCAGGCTTGATCCCAGTAGGGGGCGTGCAGGAGGCAGCCAATCGATGTTTTCATCTCTCTCTCCCTTCCTCTCGCTCTAAAAAAAAATCAATTAAAAATATTTTTAAAAAATACGTCAGCATATTTTAAAAGTACTTAATTTTCCTACAAAAACCACATTTTAATTTTATTTATGTCAGTGATAAAGATCACTTTAGCACAGCTATTTAATAGAGTAAGAACGAATCCCCATGTGTGGACTACAGGGCATTTACAGAAAGCTCAGCCCACGTGAGTTCCTGCTAGCGGTGGGGATGAAGCAGGGTGAGGAGGTTAGCTGTCAACACCAGTCCAACAAGTCTGTGCTGGGTCTCGACGGCACCCAAGAGGCCAAGAGGGTACAGTGGGTGGGTAGAGCACTAAGTTTGGGGAGGAAAGAGTCTGTGGGTGCAGGCTCCTCTGTAGTGGACTGGGCACCTGTCTGCTTCTACAACACTGACCCACGGAACACAAGCTTCTCTCCAACACCAGATCTAGGTTTCAAGAAGCTCAGGTTGAAAAACAAATAAACATCTAGTGAGTCTGGTGGCTATAAACAAGGGTATCTGTCAAGCAGTGAAATTCAGCTGTAGAAGAGAAAGGCAACAACATGAGCTTAGAAAAATAACAAAAATGCTTAAAGAGATTAAAGTATAATATAAAACAAGACTTCATGAACATAAAACATGATTTCCAAAGCTAACAACTGACTAGATTAATTGAAACTATTGGTGACTACTAAGATTGAAATTAAGTGCAATTAAGTACTTCAAAGCACAGAGTAAAAACGTAAATGGGCGGAAACTATGAAGGGAAGAGACTCAGAAGAAAGATCCAAGAGCTCTAATACACATCAAGACATTCAAGTAGAGAGCTATGAGCAGTTAGAGAAGAGGTAATAATTAAGCAACCAATAGAAGAAAATTTAACCGGATCTAAAGACTGAGTTTGTCATTTGAATAGGCTTGCTGAGTTCCAGGCTAGACTGTTAAGACACTGTACACATCTAGGCAAATACTACTAAAGTATCAATTCTCTAAAAGAATAAAAAGAGAAAGAGGAACTCTTTTAGGCTTCCAGATCAAAAAAAAAATTTACCTACAAAAAAAAAAAAAAAATCTGTCTGACGTCAACTTTCTCAGAGGTAAAATTGGAACCCAAAATCAGGGGAATAATATCTATAGGAATAAAAGAAAGGCAACCCAAGAGTACTATATTTGGCTAAGATATCATTCACTAATAGAATTCAAGAAAACAATTTTTGAATATACCAAGATTCAAAGAATATATCATCCATGTAACTTGAGAAAAGCCTCTAACCTAAAAGCAAATACATCAGATTGAGGAGGAGGAACAATTGAGGAAAACAGTGGTAGGGAATGAACCTTGAGCTCCCTTACCCTCCTTCATCCCTCTCTCTTTCTCTAATATTTAGAAGCATAAACCTAAGCAGATAATTAGAGATACGCTGGGAATGTGAAATACAAGTGCCAATTCTTGAAAGAGGAGAGGCATCCAAAAAGGAAGCATTAATAAGAACCTAGACTGACAATGAAAATACAACAGATCAGAATCTGTGATAGAGATAAAACCATGGATTTTATAGCCAGAGATGTATCTCTCAGAAAGAAGAAAGGTTTAAAAGAAGAAAAGCTTAAAGTAATGTTTTAATCTTTTATTTCCAATAGCTAGAAAGAGAAAATTAAACTCAAAGAAAGCAGAATAATTAAAGATATGATCAGAAATCAATTACATCTTTAAAAAGATTAGTATTAGAGAAAACTACCAATGCCAAAAGTAGGCTTTGAAAGCATTATTATAGTTTTATGTAATCTGTTAACACAAAGAAAATTGATAAACTTCGGAAAAACACAACTTTCTAAAAATGGCACAAGTAGTCCTATGTAGATAGAGTCCCTAACAGAGTCCATTATTTCAAATGCTCTCATATGATGCCAACTTCAGGACCAGGTGGTTTCACTGGTGAATCCTACCCAAGCACTTAAAGAAGAAATTACCACACGCAAACTTGATCACAGTCCAGAGCCTGAGAATATTTCCTATTTTGTTTCATGAGGCCAGCAAAACCCTGATATAAAAAACTGACACAGACATTGTAAGCACAGAAAATTACAGACCAATAGGCCTCATGAACAAAGACATAAAAATTCTAGCAAACTACTGGAAAATTGAATCTATAAATAAATAAAAAGAATACAACCCGGCTGGTGTAGCTCAGTAGTTGATTCCAAGAGGTCGTACCAAGAGGTCGCTGGTTCGATTCCTGGTCAGGGCACATGCCCAGGTTGTGGGCCCAATCCCCAGTGAGGGGCTGCAGGAGGCGGCCAATCGATGTTCTCTCTCATCAATATTTCTATCTCTCTCTCCCTCTCACTTCCTCTCTCTCTAAAATCAATAAAGAAAAAAAAATTTTTAAAGAATACATTATACAGAAGTGGAATTATTTCAATAGATGAGAAAAAAGGACTTGATAAATGTCCCTTCTCCCATTTATATTCAAGATTATAACAGAGGCCCTAGTCCAGGTAATACAGGAAGAAAAAAGTATCAGAAAAGAAGAAGCTGAACTGTCTTTTCACAACATAATATAACTTATAATAATATATTTAAAATTAACACAAAGATAATGAATAAAACGTTAAGACTTAATAAAAGATAAATCATAGATCTGAATATAATAGCTAAAACTACAAAGCCTCCAGGAAAAAAATATTCAAGACACTGGAGCAAATATTTTGACAGGATAGGAAAGGCATTAAAAATTTTTTTAATTGACAAACTGATCTCATCAAAATTAAAATTTTCTACTCAAAAGATACCATTATAAGAACAGAATGGGAGGAAAAAAATAGACATCTAACAAAGAATTTATTTACAGGTTTCTAAAAATCACTCATAGAGAAATGAACAACCCAATTAAAAAATCAGTAAGCGGCCCTGGCAGTGTGTCTCAGTGGTTATGGCCCAAGCACGCAAGGGTCGCAGGTTCCATCCCGGGCCCCAGCTGGGGCTTGTGCAGAGGCAACCAATCGACGTGTCTCTCTCACACTGATTCCTCCCCCCTCTTTTTCTCCCTCCCTCCTTCCCTTCCACTGCTCTCGAAATCAATGGAAAAAAATCCTCAGGTTAGGATTAAAAAAAAATGAGTAAGTAAAAGAAGATATTTAAATATGAATATCTGAATGTATAAGATGCTTAACATCATTACTTACCAGGAAAGTCAATGAAAGCAATGAGACTGGCTAAAATAAAAAGAGTGATAACTTTATCAGTGAAAAGATGGAGCACCTGGAAGACTCATACATTGTTGGCTGAGTGTAAAGTAAGAGTCAACTTTGGAAAACAATTCAAAGTTTCTAATCAACTTATTCCATGACCAGCAATCCCACTTCTAGGTATATACAGAACCCCACTCAACTTCCAGGACCCCTCCATGGATGCCTGAAACCAAGGAAACCAAACCTTATACATACCATGTTTTTTTCTATACATATATACATATGATAAAGTTTAACTTGTAAACTGGGCACAGTAAGAGATGAACTAATAATAAAACAGAACAATTATAACAGTATATGGTACTATAATAAAAGATATGAGCGTGGCCTGGTCTCTCTCTCCAAGTATCTTATTGTACTACATACACAGTGTGGATACGCTGGACAAAGGGATTATTCACATCCCAGGGTGGGGTCGAATGGGACAAAAGAAGATTCCATCACACTGCTCAGAAAAGGATGCAATTTAAAACATGAGTTGTTTATCTGAAATTCTTCATTTAGTATTTGTATTCCATGCTTGATCGTGGGACTAAAACTATGGAAAGCAAAACTGCACCTGAATGGGGGAACTACTGTATCCAAGATAAGAGAATGCGAATGTCCACAAAAAGACTTTCACAGCAATGTTCACACCAAATATATTTATAAAACCTACAATTCAAACAACCCATGCCCGTTATCATGAGAGTGATAAACAACATTTGGTTATCCAAACTCAGCAATTAAAGATGATAAATTTCTGAAAGACACAATTTTGATGAATCTCAAAAATTGTTAAGTTGGAACAAAAGCAGCCGGATAAAAAAGGCTACATACAAACTGTATGATTCCATTTTATATTCAGTTCAAGAACAGGCAAAAAATCTATGCTGACAGAAATCGGAACAGTGGTGAGACAGTGCCTATCGACTGGAATGGGGCATGAGGGACATTTTTATCTTTTGATCTGGGTGGTGGATACTTGGATGTGTAAAAAGTCACCAACCTATACACTTAAGATGTCTGTGTTTTACTGTATATAAATTATACCTCAATTTTTGTCAGAGAAAGGGGAGATGAAAATAAACGATGAGTAGACAGATACTAGGCAAATGAAACGAAAAAGAGGGAGTGGCAGCATTGATATAATGGAGTGACAAGGCAGGATTAAGGTAAACAGTACTCACCTTAGAAATTTTGTGAGAATTTAAAAACACAATTTGAGGAGCCTGTGTAGCACATTTAAAGCACATAATAAATGCCAGCACCAATTATTATTATTATTTTATTATTATTATTTTAACTGCCTGTTATCACTGATGCCCTGTTCAAACCAGTTATGAACACAAGATGTTAACTAAGTGTACTTGACCCTACTGAAATCCAAGGCTAAGGCCCACCCATCACTAAAGCACTACCTGACAGTGATGGATGGAAGTTAAATGAAAAAATCCTGTAAAGAAATCACAGTCTAACAGAAAAGAAAGACAAACATTCTTGGAGCTCCATGTTAAAAAACAGGGTTATTACGGAAGCAGAGTGTTTAAGGGGCACTACCGGGAGGACGGAAAAGTCTCACAGGGAAGGTGATGGCTGAGGGCACGCTCCCCTAACCAAAACAGCACACTTATCTACAGGAGAAAAGAGGGGGCAGGGTGCTGATTAAAGAATTATGTACTCAGTATAGCTGTACTCACTCAATTCCTACATATTAAAACTGGGCAGCACCTTTTAAAGTACTTCAAACAGTTAGTAATGACTTACAGAATACAGACTACATTAGGAAGCAGTATTTCAGATGTAGTACTACTTGCATTAATCTACCATGATAACTTCTTTAGCAGCAGAGACTCTTCTATCACATGCCGGACCTGTATCACACTGGACTGGTCCTGGACAACAAAAACCTGCCAAGTCGCATTTCCTCAATTTCTATACAGTTGTCTTCAACTCACTTAAAATAGTTTAAAAAATTAAAAATCATTATTTTTATTTATTTTAATGTTCCAAATTTAAATTTTTAAATTTACTATTTCAAAAAAAATTTTAGTAAAAATGCTTTTTAAAATAAAATGTTTCTGAGAAAGAAGAAAATAGAAAACAAAACCTGTTTTTTTCTTTTCAAAGATGACAGAATAAAGTACATTTAACTGAGCCATCTCTATAGAAATAAACTCATCAAACTTCTAACTGAATTTGAATTACTAGGTTCAGTCAAATTAATATATTTTAATTCATTACAAATGTATAGCTAGACAGATGACAAACCAACATTCTTTTATGTTACTGAACCATAACTTATCAAATGTGGACAAAATAAATACCGAGTAAATAATTTTTTTTTAATCCTTACCTGAGGATATTTTTCCATTTATCTTCAGATAGAGTGGGAGGGAAGGAGACAGAGAGACATCAATGTGAGAGAGACACATCGACTGACTGTCTCCCATATGACCCCAGCAAGGGCCGAGGATGAATCGCAACCGAGGTATGTGCCCTTGACTGGAATCAAACCCGAGACTTATTGGTCCATGGGCCCACGCTCTAACCTTGGAGCCAAACTGGCCAGGGCTAAATAATTAATTTTTAAAAATAAACTCCTAATCCCGAGTAGAAGTGATACTATTAAAACAAACAAAAAAGAAAACCATGGATAAAACAAGATACACTCTTGCCCGAAACAGAAGAACAAGCGATGTTTCTAGGACTTGTCAGTGAGCACCATCATCAATCACTTCCTTCACCTTCCACTGAGTAACCTGGTGACGTACTGCTAATCTTTATTATCATTCCCAAAACTTTTTTTTCCCCTTGGATTTTTTATAATCAAGCTAACTACCTCACATCCCATTCATTAGGTGTCACTGGATTGCTCCAATCTCTCCAATCTTCTGTTAAGGAAGGGAAGAAGAGATGGCTTTTGTTTTGGCTGTACACTGTATTTGATTTGAGACCACCTACATAGAATGATCTGAGGGATGCTGGAAAGAACTTGACTGCCAGACCACTGTCTCCTACACCAGCGATTTTCAACCTTTTCCATCTCATGGCACATAAACTAACTGCTGAAATTTGTGGCACACCAAAAATATTTTTTTGACGATCTGACAAAAAAAAAAAAAAGGTATAATTTTGATTAATTCACACCAGATGGCTATTATTGTATTGGCTGTTGTCATTTTTTTTATATGCCTCTGACTAAATAAATAGTCAGGTACTGCATGGTTTTTATGTTTTGTTTTGTTTTTTAAATCCTCACTGAGGACATTTTTCCATTTTTTGTTCAGATAGAGTGGGAGGAAGAGAAAGGAAGAGAGAGAGAGAGACATTGATATTAAAGGGACACATCGAGTGGCTGCCTCTTGCATGACCCCAACCAGGGCCTGGGACAAACTGCAACCGAGGTACGTGCCCTTAGTGGGAACTGAACCCGGGTCTCTCTGGACCACAGGCTGATGCTCTAACTGCTGAGCCAAACCAGCCAGGGCGGTACTGCACGTTTTAAAAATTATTGTGACACAACGGTTGAAAATCACTGTCCTACACTTATATTGGAAATTATACCATTCCAGAGTAAGTTAATAATTTTCCATTACTTAGTAAGAAAAATAAAAAAGTTTCTGAAAATGATAAACTGAAATAAAATGTCAAAAGACACTAAGTTACAGCAAGATTAGATACAACTGAGAAGAAATGAATGAGAAGAGAGAACTTCAGAAATAACTCCTAATCATTTCACAGAATTAAAAAGATAAGGGAAAAACATGAAAGAAAAATATGAGACATAGAGAATAGAGTGAGAGGTCTAATAAGTATCCAATAGGAAATCTTGAAAGGAGAGAAAATAGTGAATAGAGAAACATAAATATTCAAAGAGATAATGACTGAGAATTTTCCAGAATTAATTAAAGGTATAAATCAAAGTCAGGAAAAAAAAATCATCTTATCAAGAGACATATTATAGTGGAACTACAGAATGTTAGAAAATACCTACAAAGTAGCCAAAGAAAGACTTTCATATATGTCTTCTAGTAATCAACAAATTAAGACCAAAATAAATGAACAAAAGGAATGGATACAGAAGATTCAACAATATAATTCAAAAACTTGACCTCACGGACATGTATGGAATGTGGCATTCAAAACTGAAAGACATAATCTTTTTAAGAAGGTAGAATTTAAGAAAACTGATCATGTATCCTGCAAAGCAAGTTTCAACAAAGTTAAAAACATATCTTCTGACCTCAGAACCATTAAGTAAGACATTTGTAATAAAGAAAACTAATTCCCAATATGGAAAAGATTGCTCTCCCAATTTGGAAATTTACAAACACATTTTTATATATGTTATGTGTCCAAAAAACCCCACAAAATGAAAATTAGAAAATACAAAACTGAAAAACTAAAATACCATATGTTAATATGTGGAACATAACTAAAGAGATAAAGGGATATTAAAAAGGCAGAAAGGTTTGGAATGAAGGAGCTATTTAAAAAAAAATTAAGCCCTGGCCGGTTTGGCTCAGCAGTTAGAGCATCGGCCTGCGGTCCAGAGAGACCCGGGTTCAGTTCTCGCTAAGGGCACATACCTCAGTTGCAGTTTGTCCCCGGTCCCAGTTGGGTTGTGCGGGTGGCAACCACTCGATGTCTGTCTCTCTCTCTCTCTCCCTCCCTCCCTCTTCCTCTCTCTCCTTCCCACTCTCTCCGAACAAAAAACAAAAAAATGTCCTCGGTGAGGATAAAAAAAAATTAAGCTAAGCACCCAAATTATTGCAACAGAAAAAAAAATATAAAGAGAGATCAGAAAGAATGATATACAATTAAGCTAAACATAATCAAATATGTAAAATATAGCAAGATGGTTCAAGTGACACAAAAGTCTCTAAAACTGACAGCTGTAGGTAAAGAACCTTCCTTCCACCCCAAGCTGGAATAAAGCCTCAATCAAGAATTTAAGGAGACTTGTTTCATGATTGCAGCCCAAGTAAACTGAAAATCTGCGATTATACACACTCTAAGTTAGACGTTTGCTTTTTAAGGACTAGAATAGGTTAAAATAGAATTTTATATATGTAAAGAAGTTCTTTGGAATTATATAATTGCAGCTACCACGATTTTCCTATTCCTTTGGTGTGTTTCCATGGGAACAATTTTGTTATTTATTTTAAGATATATGGTGCTAGGTCAGAATGCATTCTGGATTTAGAATGAGAGTACTTAATGCTGAGACCTGCTTTACTCTGCACTTAAATAGGTCAAATCATTACATTCTCTGCGCATCTTTCTATATTAAAAAAGATGGAATTAATAATACCTTAATTACTTCACAAGTTATTTGCATCAAATATACTTGTATATTTGAAATCATTCCAGCTTTAAATGATCATTGGTCACTAAATTTAATAAGCTCCTAAAAAACAAAGCTATTTGTGTACTTTTCCAATATTATAATTCATTCTACTTTGGAAGACGAGGAACAAGATTACAGGAACTAACAAGTGCTCATTTTCATCCATCTGCTGGTAGAAGTACCAAGAAGAAAGCAGGAGGAAATGCCCAGACGAACCCTTGGCAGACCACCAGTTCATACCAGGGAAGAGATCTGAGAGAATGTCTAGTGTCCTGTGACACTCAGTAAGAGCCCACAATAAACCATTATCTCCAATAGAGAAACAGGGTGAAAGAGTGGATACCAAGACATTCGCGTGACCTATGTGCCCCATGATTTTTCAGGGATCACACCTCTAGAGCTATCTGTCATTTGAAAACAGAACTGTGAAAACCAACAGCAGTTGGCAATCTTTTTTCCCTTAACGCAAAAATATAGTTTACTTGGTTGGCATCATGAAATTAATGAATTTACTCATAACAAACAGTTAACACAAATGTTATAATCTAAATCTAGTTTACTGTTTACACAACTGAATAATTTGAAAATATTCACTGGTCAATTTAAAAAATTACAAATTCTGAATGTGAAAAATAGCCTACCATTTATTCTAAGCTGTACTCCCAAAGCTTTCATATTACCTTGGTCTCAAAATGATCTAGACAAAAACTAAGGAGGGTATCTAAGTCTATTTATATGTCACTTTCATGCTACTTCTTAATGATATAAACTGAAAAAATAGATAGCTCCTATTGATAACTTTAAAAAATATATATTTTTGATTGGAGAGAGAGAGAGAAACATCAATGAGACAACATCGACTGGCTGCCTCCTGCATGCCCCCCACTGGGGATCGGGCCCACAACCTGGGCATGTGTCCTGACCAGGAATCGAACCAGTGACTTCTTGGTGCATGGGTCGACACTCAACCAGTGAGCTACACCAGTCAGGCCCCTACTTATAACTTTTTAAAAACCTAAAGAAAACCAAACTTAATGCTTCTGCTATATGCAATTCCTAATCATTTCATGTATTTTTAAATAATTAAAAAGTCTCCACTAAATATACTGTTATCATTATTGTTACTGCATAAAAACAGTGTCCACTTTTTACTGCAAAAGAACTCTGTACATTTCTCAGCACAAAAATTTCTGGAAATAAACTTCACTTTTGGCCCTATAGCCTTAAGTCACAACATTTCTCATCAGAATGATTAACCTTTACGAAAAGGCAGGAAAACAAGACAGAGCCACCCACTTTGATATTTTCATTCTTTGAAAAAAAATTCCAATTGAGCTCATAAACTGGAACCATCATTTGTAAAATATATGTAATCCATCAAGAGTACATTTTGATTATAAGATTAACAAGATCATTATCTTTATTATTCTTTGCACTGAGAAAACTGTACTGACATTAAAAAGTGGTTCTAGCTTAGTTTTACTTAGAAATCTGATAAACCTTTGCCCAGGAACTAACCTTTAATAACAAGGTTGCTTCATTTTTTCCTTTTCTGCTTACTTAAAAATATATAAACGACAAAGTAAAACGTTCTAAAAAACCTACTCCATTGACACAGGACTATTTTTTGTTCAACCTTGCTACTTCCATGGAGTAGAGAGTGAAGAGCATGTGTTTTTCAGGTAAGATGTTAAGCAAGATATTAAGCATCCTGCCGCTGTTATACACCAGCTGTGCGTGCATGCACACGTCCATGCTAAAGCACCTGTGTGCTGCTTAAGTAGTGAAAGCAAAAGGACATCGCAGACACATGAAAAGGGAGAAAGGAAAAAGTGTGAACAAACAGGAAAAGATTTATTTAGAGACTCAGGGAATCTGCTCCTGGCTATAAATAAAAGTTATGATCTAAAAACAGCCAAATTTGAAATGATTCTTAAAGACTTGGGTTTTATGCCTTCCAGTCATTATTTTCTTCCCTTACTTTTGCATAACTTAGGTGGGGAGTAAACCAGCTCTAATCTTCAGAAAACTTTGCTCTAAAGGAAAAGAGAATGTATTAAATTAATTATTCAAGGTGAGTTATGAGAAGGATGGGAATTACTCAACGACAGTGGGATGAAGATGGGGAAAGAATATGGGTGTGGGGAGGGCAACAAGAGGGAAAAGAATAGGAAAGTAAAAGAAAGAGGGTGCTGAGGAATAGTTTGGAAACTAAACTGATAAAACAACCAACTTAACATAATCCATTTACCTGTGTTATTTTTTCTATTCCCTGGAAGTTGTACTTTTCAAAATGTTCTGCTATATTTAGGAAGGTGTGACGTTGCAGGTAGCAGCAATTACTTAGGACTATCAAAAGTTGCTGTTCCTAAAAGCAAAACAAATTTTTAGAAAATTACATTTACAGTAACAAATGAGAGTCTAACAGGTATCATTTATCACTTATTAAATTTAATTACAATCTCTTGGTGTTTAATATCAACATTCAATGCTTTGGTTTTCTTGGCTCCTTCTTTCTCAACATTAACATAGAGACAAACATAACAATTCTAACTGCTTATTATCACATAATACACTGAAGAGTCAAATAATGTTCCCTTTGAAATTTAATAGCTGTATAGAGAAACAGATTGATGAAACACAGTTAACTAAAGTGGGATCAGCTGTTGTTCACATGAAAGGGGTTCATGCTATTATTCTACTTAATATTTTGTGCACAAAAAAGCTATAAAATTGATATTTTAAGTGATTACAAAAATTATAGAAACTCTTAGAAAATAGTTTATAAGAAAATTATGATACAATCTACATGATGGGTTCCTTAAAAAAAAACGTACCTTTGCAGAATTGTTTATGTAGGATAATTTCCCTCTTTTGGGGAGTGAAGAGAGTTAGGGGACTCCCCCAGTGTCAGTAATAGAGGATTAGAGCCCCATGTTCTATACTCTCCAGAGTTCTAGCTGCTTAAAGTCATTTGTCAGCAAAATCATAGACCCCAATGCTGATAAATAAGACACCTTTTACAGTTCAGAAGAACTACTTTTATAAATAAAATTCCAGGAATGGCATTTGTCACTGCTACTGTGGTTCACAGACAGACTTTCCCTGTGCTCCCTCCAGCGTAAGAGCATTCTCCGGAACAAATATGACTAATTTAGGGCCGTAGTTTAAGATCCCTTGACTAAAAACTAAGGCAAATAACATTTTCCAGGAAAAGTTCTCACTCATACTTGTTTACTATTTCATATGTAATCAAAATAACTTATGTTCAAGTCAATATGATAAACACGGAAATAAATAGGCCCCTGCCCTTTGAGGTAGACAAATGACAGATGAAATACACTCTTGAAGCATAGATTATATTTCCTAATAATTTAATTTAGCCCCATCACATTTTTCAAAATTTTCTAAATCTAAAAATATATTATTTAATATGTTCACATACTTAATATGTCCCTGTCTTTATTTGTGGCAGAGTGTAGTCTATTCAATGCCGTTTCTGGTCTGCAACAAATATAATTAAAAGGCCAAGGAATTACTAAGGTACTTTCAAGCAAATGAAACACTGCTGATGGCACTAATACTGTCTGGGTGGGAAATGGAGTACAGAACAAGGTAGAGAGGATTATGGTGTGTAAACTCCTCCACACTTTGTGTATAAATGACAAGTAAAAGTCAGAAAGACAGCAGTGAACAGCATTGGCAAGGTACACAGGTGAGGCAGGGGGTTGGAGGCCATACTGCCTCTTGCCCCAGACCAGACCTGGTGTTACCCTTTTGTGGTCTTTGTAAATAAAGCACATGAAATAAGTAAACATAATGTCTCACCAGCCACTCTAAACATGCTGTAATCCTCGAAATTCTCATCTGGACTCCTAGTTATAAAATCAATTCTTAATTGCCTTATTCTTCGAGTCTTCCCTCCAAATATCAGCCTTATCTAGGAGTCCACCTGAGCCTGCTATATCTTCTGACCCCTATTAATTCTCTTTAGTGGAAGAAAAATGATTCTTCCCCTAAAATGGAAAAACTATTTGAGTGATTTAAAGTCTTACCCTTAATAACTGGTTTCCCCCCTCAAATCTAACCAATCAGAAGAAACATAAGTGGAAGAACAATTGAATAACACAATCAAATAATCAAATTCTTATTAACAAAATCAAATAATCAAAAGCTTATTAACAACTTAGATGAGTATATATGCTTGAAAATAACAATGCAACCTATGAAAGGTAGCACTTGCAAACTATGGACTATAACCTCATGTATTATTTCAGTTATTCCTCACCGAAACTCTGAGATATAGGCATGACCATCCCAACTTTGTTCAGAAGAAAACTGGACAACCTCAGTGATAGTCCAAGGCTATTCAATTAGTAAGAAGAAGACCAGGACAAACCAGTGTCTTGTGACTTCAAACCTAGACCTCTTTCTATCATAACTGCCCCTGGTAAATAACAAGACCTTAAGAAGATTTCAATAATCTGGGCCAAATCTCTGGACCGAAGGCCGACGCTCTAACCGCTGAGCCAAACTGGCCAGGGCGATCTGGGCCAAATCTAAGAAGGTATTACAGAAGAAGAAAAAATTAGGAAATAAATCTGGTACCAAATAAATACTTTTTGGAGAGCAAAATGGAAGAAATAAAGTCTTGTGAGTAGCAAAAGCAAGTATGAAACGGGGTTTTGGTTGACAGTAAGCTCAATGTAAGTCAACAGAGAGATGTACCCTAATGTGTGGTCTGGCTGCTTCCCCGTAGTCAAGGTCACATTGGAGTCCTGTGTCCACCCTTGAAGAAGGACCAAAGTAGACTTAGAGGAGAACTACCACATCAAGTGACTACAGCCTGTGAACTGGGAGGCATCTACATGATTTAGTGTTAGGAGAAGGAAAGATCCCAAGCACACACAGCAGCTGTTTTCAAACATGGGAAAAGTTATCATGTAGAAATTAGGCTTGTTCTAAAAGAAAAGAAAATGACTGGCAAGGTCTCTCTCAATTTAGGAGGATTTTCCCTCCAGCTCGTGGCCCCCTCTGGCCCTCTTTCTAAGTTCCCAATGGAAAGAACATTGTAAACTCTCCAGAACAACTTCCTCAGCTCCTATTCTCTCAAGACCCTGCAGGTGGCCCCTTGGCAGTCTAACGATGTGATTCTCCCACTGTCACACACAGCCTCCTAATTGCCAAGGTCACGAGGCTCTAGTTTTCATCTGATTGAATCTGAACCTCATCTGTCTATTGTTAAATATTCCTTTGTTTAAATGGTCTTTTCCATCTGTCTCAGGAACATTATTACTCTATCTGGATTTCCTTTCTTTGATTATTCCTTCAAGAAAACTTCAAGGTTCTCTGCTTCTAGCCATCCCTTAAATATGGTACCCCAATTTTATTTTTATATATTTGACTCTCTTCTCATGCTACTAGTATTTTCCCCAATATTGTTATCCACTCCCAAGCCATATATTGCTGATTCATAAATCTCTATCTATATTTTTCTCCTGGGGTCCAAATAAATATATCTAATCTCCCACAAACTATCTCTAACTAAATGTCATTTATTTAATACATCTGGTCCCAAAACAAATTTTTAATCTTTCTTTAGAATCTATTTTCTTCCTGAATTCTCTCTGTGAATGGTACCATTATCTACCTAGCCATACAAGTAATTAAATCTAGAATAGATGTTATTAAAAATTACTTTGAAAAACTATACTTTTCCTAATATGGAAATGCAGACTAGTGCAGCCACTGTGGAAAACAGTATGGAACTTCCTCAAAAAATTAAAAATAGACCTGACCTTTGACCCAGCGATCCCATTTCTGGGAATACATCCTAAGAATCCCAAAACACCAATCAGAAAGAATATATGCACCCTTATGATTATAGCAGTATTATTTAAATAGCCAATATCTGGAAATAGCCCAAGTGCCCATCAGTGGATGAGTGGATAGAAAAGCTGTGGTATATTTACACAATGGAATACTACACGGCTGGAAAAAGGAAGGAACTTTTACCATTTGTGACAGCATGGATGGACCTGGAGATTACTATGCTAAGCAAAATAAACCAGTCAGAGAAAGACAAGTAACATATGATCTCAATTATATATAGAATCCAATGAACAAAATAATCTGATAAACAAAATGGAACTGGAAACATGGGCACATGGAACAGACTGGCTAGTACCCGAGGGAAGAGGGGTGGGGTGACTGAATAAACAAGGTGAAGGGATTAGCTAAAGAACATATATGTATATTCTATGGACATGGACAATAGTTCGGTGAAGACTAAGGTAGTAGGAAGTGGGAGTGGGCGGAGGTGGGCAAGAGGGGGGGAGGGGGACATCTGCAATCATGTCAACATTAAAATTTTTTAATAAAAAATTTTTTTTAAAAACCCAATCTTTAAAAAAAAAAAACCCAAATCTTTTATTAAGGAATTCCTATTTATAAATATAATAATTGTGGAAATGATACAGGCCGAAAATTTAAGTCATATTTTCTTAGTTGAGTGACACATACACACACACACACATCCTTCAAATTTATGACAAACTAGAGAGGGTTATTTTTTTATATAGCTGGAGTTTAGATTTCAACAGCTAAATTTATATATGTGATAAAATACATATACACAGGCACGCGCCCCCCCCCCCCCCAGGTTTTGGTTTTGGTTTTGCCATGGAACTCTGTATTAAAATAAAATGCTATTATGGAGTTTAGAAAATGAAAAAAGAGAGAAAAGCAGAGCTTCTCTGGTGAAAGAGGAAACATGGGAAAGGAACAGGTGTCTGCCCTCTGTCGCCTCTCCAAATTTCAGGCATCAGGGAACTACTAGACACCTAGTTCACACTCAAGAATCTGCATGATACAGAGAGTAAGTGGAAATAGTTAAGTTATAACTTCAGCTAAAGAGATTTTAAGTACAGAATATATATAAAATTATATTTCAGTAAACTTTTCACAAAATAAAACACAACTCCAAAGTACAGAGTAGTATGCTATAGCACTAATATAGTAGATAATTTAGATAGATTTATGAAATAGTCATTACATAGTTTTAAAATGACATATTTTACTCCCTTTTTATCATCTTAAGTATTTATCACCTTACTTACAGAAGTCAAACTGAAGTCTTCATGAATACTTCCAAACAAATCAGGAGAAGAAACATCAACAGAAAGGCTGAATATAAAAGAAAGAAAGAGAAAAGTTACAATCAAAGCCTTAAAATAAAAAATGCATCCAGCCAGTATGGCTCAGTGGTTGAGTGTCGACCAATGCACCAAGAACTCACCGGTTCTGATCTCCAAGTGGGGGGCATGCAGGAGGCGGCCAGTCGATGTTCTCTCTCATCCATGTTTCTCTCTCTCTCTCCCTCTCCCTTATACTCTCTCTAAAATCAATAAAAAGAAAAAAATGCTAATACAATGTTTGTTGAAGGACATATATATATATATTATACACACACACACACACACACACAAGTATTACTCGGCCATATAAAAGTGAAATCTTGCCATTTACAACAACATGTATAGACCTAGGTATTATGTAAATGAAGTAAGCCAGAGAAAGACAAATACCATATGATTTTATTTACATGTGGAACGTAAAAAGCAAATTGAATAAACATATAAACAAACAAAATCAGACTTACAAATACAGAGAACGAACTGATAGGTGTCAGAGGGAAGGTCGGCTAGGGAAAGAGTGATAAAGGTGAAGGGGATCCAGAGGTACAAACTTGTAGTTATACAACTAATAAGGCACAGGGATGTAATGGACAGCTAAGGGAATATAGTAAACAATATAACTTTGTATTAAACAGATGATTATTAGAATTATCATGGTAATCACTTCATAAGGCTATAAACACTGAATCACTATGTTCTACACCTGAAACTAATATAACATTGTGTATCAACTATACTTTCATTTAAAAAAATTAATCTTTCGATCAAAGATCAAGTAACTTTATATAAGCTTCTAATATTTAACAATAGCTCAAAATAGACATTATAAACTATCTATTAACATGAGCCATTGAAATGTGGTTTTGGTCTTCCCAATGACTTAATTAAATTTAAAAAACAAATCAACAAGGGAGAAAATACCAAATAATTTAATTTCTAGGTACAGACTTACATAATTGAAATTGTTGTGACTATCAGAATCTCCACGAGGCTTTTTCAAGCTAACCTTCATAGTTGACCATTTACAAGTGAGTTAAGTTAGAAAAGTAGTTAATTGCTCACAAGTAAACAGACATACAAAATTATACAGAAGGAAATATCATAAATCCACTGATTAATTTAAAGATACAACAAAATCATAATAAACACCTTAGTAGGAATTCTTTTCTTTAAATCTAACCAACTGATTTAGAATTCATAAGAAAGACTTTTAGCCTGGCCGGCTTGGCTCAGCGGTTAGAGTGTTGGCCTGCGGTCCAGAGAGGCCCCGCTAAGGGCATGTACCTCAGTTGCAGTTTGTCCCCAGCCCTGGCTGGGTCGTGTGGGAGGCAGCTACTCGATGTGTCCCTTTCACGTCAATGTTTCTCTCTCTCTCTCTCTCTCCCCTTCCCACTCTATCTGAACAAAAAATGGAAAAATGTCCTCGAGTGAGGATAAAAAAAAAGACTTTTGGATAAAATTATCAAACAATATTTTAAAATAGAGAAGCAATAAAAAATAATCGGAAAAATATTAAAAAATAAACTATACTTAAAGTAACACAAACTGATCGAAAATATAGATGAATAAATGAAACAATATAAAAGTTCAGAAATACACTGCACTATATATTAGAATTAAGTACTGTATGAAACAAAAATTGTAACAAAACAATACGAAGAAAACATTTAATCAATAGTTTCAGGGAACTGATTAGTAATACAATTTCCTGGTGGGTTTATGTGTTAAACATACAAAATCTAATTTTTTTAAAAAACAGAAGAATTAAATACTTATTAGGTATCAGAGAAGTGATAGTTTTCTATACTGAGGCAAAAACCAAGGAAATAGACAAATAGGAAACAACTCACAATTATTATTAAAAATTTTTCATTTATTTCAGTATTACGTATGTCAGAGCATATATCGTAGGTGCACAAAAATTATACATGCCAATGTCATTCAGAAAAACTACATTTAAAAAAAATTCTGTAGCGACTTCTGGTCAGGATAGCGTGTAGGTAAATGCGGTATAGCCTCCTCCCACAACCACATCAAAATTACAACTAAACTACAGCACAACCATCATTCAGAACCACCGAAAATTGAGCTGAATGGAAGTCCTACAACTATGAAATTAAAGAAGAAGCCACATGAAGACTGTTAGGAGGAGTGGAGGTGTGGACCGGCTGGTCCCATACCCACATATGGCAGATAAAAATCAGGAGGGACACCTCAACTGTGAAGGTCCTCCCTGAGGAGTGAGGGGGTCCCTGTCCCAGGCGTCCAGCTCAGGGCCCCAGTGCTGGGAATAGATGTCCCCATAACTTCTGGCTGTAAAACCAGCAGGAACTGAGGCTGAGGGAGGCTGCAGCTGCTGAAGCCCCAGGTCGTTCCTCTTAAAGGGCTCACGCACAGACTTACTTGGACTTGCTCCATCCAAGCTCAGAGGGGAGGCAGCTTGAGGGGCACCAGAGACATACAGGGAAGAACTGTGGCCTCAGGACAAGGGCTGGAGAGGCAGCTTTCTCCTGGAAAAACGTGCTGGCAGAGGCTGATGTTCCTTTGGTGAGCCCTACCCTGGGGCAGCAGACGGCCACCATATCTGGGACTCCAGGAACCTGGCTCACACTATTTGCCCCACCCTGATGACTCCCTGAGGCCCTGCCCAACCCAACTTTCGAGCCCACCCAAGCTATTTCCAGTGGCTTTACCACAGGATTGGCCTGTCTTGAATCCTGCTTTAGATTTTCCTAAATTCTCTCAAACAAGCAGCATCTGGTCTCAGCGAGCCCCATACCTCTCATTAAGTGGCCCCAGGCCTGGCACTAGAAGCAGCCAGCCTTGGTTCACAACTTGGCTTTTTCTGGGCAACTCCAAGCCCAGCACAAGAAGCAGCCATCATCAGATCACTTTGTAGCTTGTGCTGGGTGGCCCGGGATAGAACACAGGCGATGGCTGACCTGGCCCTAGAGACAGCACACTCAGTAGACAGTTTCAGACCACATCGAAACACCACCACCCAACCACCTCCACAAGTGACACATTCAATGAATGGACCCAGTGGGTACCAGAGCCCTGATGAAGTAAATCTTGCTCTGTGTGGTGGGCCCTACTTAGCTGATCTTCCAAAGTAGTCAGAGGCCAGTGGTCAGTGGGCACAGCCAGTCCTTACAGCTGATCAGCCTGAGTAAATCCCTCCCATTGATGTGCCAACAGCAATCAAGACTCAATTATAACAGAAGCATATACAGTCCACACTAGGGGTGTGCCGTGAGGGCCCGGCTGGGGTGATCAGGGAGGTTGTGCCACTGGATCCTACAGGACACCTACAAAAACATGCCACCCTATGAAGCTTAGGAGATATAGCAACTCTACCTAATACATAGAAACAACCACAGGGAAGCAGCCAAAATGAAGAGACAAAGAAACATGTCCCAAATGAAGGAAAAGAATTTAACAAAATGGAGATAAACGATCAATCAGATGCAGAGTTCAAAACACAGGTTATAAAGTTGCTCAAGGAACTTGGTGAGACATTCAAGGAACTTAAGGAGACCTCCAAGGAACTTAGTGAGACCATCAACAACATAAAAAAAGGACCAGTCAGAAATGAAGGATGTACTAACTAAAATAATAATTTACCGGAATCAATAGTAGAGTAGGTAAAGCCAAGAAGAAAACCATCAATTTGGAATATAAGGAAGCAAAAAACACCCAATCAGAACAGCAAAAAGAAAAAAGAATCCAAAAAAATGAGGATAGTATAAGGAGCCTCTGGGACAACTTCAAGCGTGCCAACATTCGCATCATAGGGAAGCCAGAAGGAGAAGAGAAAGAACAAGGAATTGAAAACGTATTTGAAGCAATAACAACAGAAAAATTCCCTAACTTGGTGAAGAAAACAGACATACAAGTCCAGGAAGCAGAGAGTCCCAAACAAGATGAACCCAAAGAAGACCACACCAAGACACATCATCATCAAAATGCCAAAGGTGAAATATAAAGAGAGAATCTTAAAAGCAGCAAGAGAAAAGCAGTTCATTACCTACAAAGAAGCTCCCATAGACTGTCAGCTGATTTCTCAAAAGAAACTTTGCAGGCCAGAAAGGAGTGGCAAGAGATATTCAAGGTGATGAAAAGCAACATCCTACAACCAAGACTATTCTATCCTGCAAAACTATCATTTAGAATCAATGGACATATCATGAGTTCCCCAGATAAGAAAAAGCTAAAGGAGTTCATCACCACCAAACCAGTATAATATAAAATGCTGAAGGAGAACAACAAAAATATGAACAATAAAATGGCAATTAATACATATCTATCAACAATCAAATCTACCAACAAAATGAGCAAACAGAACAGAAACAGACTCATAGACACAGAGAACTTTTTGTTGCTTGCCAGATGGATGGGGGCTGGGTGAAAAAGATGAAGGAATTAAGACGTACAAATTGGTTGTGAGACTGTTGAACATCAAAGGGAAGGGGGGGAGGGAGGGCGGAATGAGATAAACCAAAGAACTTCTATGCATATATGCATAAACAATGGACACTGACAATAGTGTGGGGAAGGTTGGAGGGAGCGAGATTGGGGAGGAGGGGGTCAATGGGGCAAAAAAAGGGGGACATCTGTAATACATTCAACAATAAAGATGAGCTAAAAAAAAAAAAGAATAAATTGCTAAACTGATGTCTATAAAAAAAATCCTATAGAGCATTCTGAAAAATATTTAAAAATAAAAGAATTATCACATGAATTTGTAAATATCAAGATTTGTCCTCTGCAGCCCAAGTAACTAAGCCGGACCCAAATTAATTCGATTAACATAATCAGTCTTTCACAATAGTGTTAGTGAAACTCTCTACACCAAAATTGTATGAGTTAACAAGTAAGAGTTATATATATTTTAATTTTCTACTTTATTTATAAAACTTCATTTGGATAATTACTGAGCTAATCATGTGTTCAGTTTGCTAAGATGAGTTCAGAAGATAAAGAAATTATGTAAAGAATATACATCAAATATAGAAAAATATAACAACTTATCTCCCTAATTGAATGTCTTAGGATATAAGACCAAATATGTAACATCAGTCTGTATTTTTAATGCTCCTAAATGCATGAATGAGATTCATTTCAGTTTTACTTACTGTGTAGTATCTACATCTGCATCAGGCTTGGTGCTCAATTGTTCCAGACAATATATAAAAATCTAAGTCAAAACATAAGAAGTTTCAATGACATAAACTGTTAGATTCTAATCTATTTGAACATTAAAAATAATTTTATGTAAATAAAAAAACAAATACATGTCTTTATGAGGTATGTATGTAAGAATGTATGTCTACATCTCCCATAGATTATACATTATATATCCACCAGTGTATGTTGCACAAGTAACAAAAAGTAAAAAGCATCTATATTTTGATACAAATATTGAACTTGCACATATTTTAGTGCAAGTTCCTTTTACTCGTTCATTCACTCACATGCTCAACTTTGTTTATGTGCCCACAAAACACTGGTCCCAATCAAAGAACTGCACACTCTGGACACAGTGCAAACAACTAGCATGCCATTTCCTCTGAGCTCTAACAAAATTATATATAAAGTCCCACAAGAAAACAAAACAGGGGAGCATAACATAAATGAAATATTGGGGTATTATTAAAACAAACTGAAATTTTACCTTGAACTTTGTTACCTTACTTGGTATTATATACCAATGAAAAAATATTTAATATAATATATGTTATACATACATTCTAAATAAGAGAGGGTTGACAAATAATTTACATTATTTCAGGCTCAGGGTATGTGTTTTTAATTACCTGCATGATATTGATGCTTAGTTGGCAAACCTCCTCCTGTGTTTTCGGTTGTTGAAAGACCTATAAGGATGAATTTTGGTGAAAATTTTTGGACTTCACTAAGAAAACAAAACTTTCATTTATGAAGTGCAATATAAAAAGTTAACACATGGAAAATTGCTTCTAGTATGTATGACCTTACTCTGAAAGGGGCCATGAATGAAGACCAGGACTACAGCCCGTGAGTGTTCCTACCCACAGTGGTTCCGCCCTGAGAAGACAGTGACATGGAGCTCTTTAACACCTGTCACTTGTTTTCTCTGTATGGAAAGTGTTAACAATGCAAGTAGTATACCTACAACACTTACATTCACATTGTTAACTTCCATCAACCCCTCTCGGAATCAAGAAATGAAGAGCCTATCTATTTAAATGAAATAAAATAACAGGCTGTCAGAGGGGAAAGCTCCTGTGCTAAAACGACTTGGAAATTTACAACTGTGAGTCTGAAACAGAGGTGAAATAGAACAGAAAACTCACACTGGCTTCTCCAGGCTTGCAGTCTAGAACTCCTTTAAGTGATTGCAGAGAATGTACAATGCACTGTTCAAACTGATATGGCTAAAGGAGAAAACAAAACAAAACGTGTATCTTAAAATTAAAAACAAGCATTGGTTATTAAGACATTAAAAAGAAGTGAATATGGCCCTGGCCGGTTTGGCTCAGCGGTTAGAGCATCGGCCCACGGACTAGACAGTTCTGGGTTCGGTTCCTGCTAAGGGCACGTACCTCGGTTGCAGTTTGTCCCCGTCCCCATGGGATTGTGTGGGTGGCAGCCAGTCGATATGTCTCTCTCACATCGATGTTTCTCTCTCTCTCTCTTCCTCCCTCTCTCCTTCCCGCTCTATCTGAAGATAAATGCAAAAAATGTCTTCGGGTGAGGATAGGAGAAAAAAAAAAAAAAAGAAGTGAATATGGCCAAAAACTCTCAATTTTTCATATTTTATGGAAAGGAACAGACATAAAAAAACGACAATAATCTAGTCACCAGGATTTAGCTTTGCCATGTTTTGCACTTGATATTTAAAAACAAGTGAATCTTGAAATTCTAAAGTCCATCGAATTCAATAAGAACAGAAGTCATGTATAACTAAAATTTTTTCTTAAAAATTCTACTCTTCTGAGAGGCAAATGACACAATAAAAAATGGATACAATAATTTTAAACCCTGCTTGCAGGGTACGGTCTGCATGAGCTCGATCTCTTAGATATTCCACATCTCTGGTACTGCTCAAGAAAATTTAATGTTGGCCCTGGCCGGTTTGGCTCAGCGGTTAGAGCGTCGGCCTGCGGTCCGGAGAGACCCGGGTTCGGTTCCCGCTAGGGGCACGTACTTCAGTTGCAGTTTGTCCCCGGCCCTGGTTGGTCGTGTGGGTGACAGCCACTCGATGTGTCCCTTCACGTCGATGTTTCTCTCTCTCTCTCCCTTCCTCTCTCTCCCTCCCACTCTATCTGTACAAAAAATGGAAAAATATCCTCGGGTGAGGATTAAAAAAAAAAGAAAATTTAATGTTGATAACGATCCTGAAGAGACCCAAGATCTGTAACTTTAACAGTCATTACAGCCCTGGCCGGTTTGGCTCAACGGTTAGAGCATCGGCCTGTGATCCAGAGAGATCCGGGTTCGGTTCCCGCTAAGGGCGCGTACTTCGGTTGCAGTTTGTCCCCGGCCCTGGTTGGTTGTGTGGGTGGCAGCCACTCGATGTGTCCCTTATACATCGATGTTTCTCTCTCTCTCTTCCTTCCATTCTATCTGAACAAAAAATGGAGAAATGTCCTTGGGTGAGGATTTAAAAAAAAAAGTCATTACAGTCATTTTCTACATACATTAAATCAGCAAATGGAATTTGAAAAATGTGCAACAAATGGCATTCAAGAGAAATTTGAATGAAGCCTAACATCTTAGCTTCTAACTGTATTTAACGTTTTACTTTGTGCCAGGCATTCTCTAGGTGATAGGAATACATGAGTAAGAGCGACTTCTCATTAATTGTATGTTCTAGGCTGACAGTAACCATAAAACTAAGGCTCAACAAAACTCTTACTTTTTACTAATAAAATATAAAAAGTACAGAGATAAAGTAAGTGCAATCCCAAACTTATTGTCATGAAGAAAATAAGTGGATCTCAGAGAAAAATAGAGATGGAGGACAATCTGTTCTAAATAGGATAGTTTGAAAAGGTCCCTCTGAGACAGTGAGAACATTTCAGCTGAGACTTGAAGAACAAGAGGAATCAACCCTCAAAGGAAAAGGGAAGGAGGGACGTGAGCTCGGGGAGGAGGGTGGCATGTGCCTAGACCACACCCAGGGTGAACAGGACCTAGGGACTGAGGGGCCACAGTGTGTCACAACCTCTGAGCATGAGCTTGGCAGTCACGAGATGAAGCTAAGGATCTGGGTTTCATCCAGGGGCGTAGAACTGTGCAAGGCTCAAAATTAAACTAAATTTTTCCAACTGTAAAAATCTGCAGTCAGAACATCTCCTCAACGCATATTTCATTTTTTTTTAATCCTCACCCGAGGCTATTTTTCCACTTATCTTCAGATAGAGTGGGAGGGAGGGAAGGAGAGAGAAACATCAATATGAGAGGGACACCAACCAAGACTGTGGACGAACCGCAACTGAGGTTCATGCTCCTGACTGGAATCAAACCTGCGACTCTTGGTCTGCGGGTTCACGTTCCAAGTGCTGAGCCAAACTTGTACTTATTTCAATTTTTAAGAGTTGGGGAAAAAGAAGAGACACCTATATACAAGGGGGAAAAAAAGACAAGCTTATTTTTTTATAAAAAGGAACCCAGACTTAATGAAAGCTAAAATAGTGCCTCAACTTTAATGCCATTTTAATACTGCACTTTGAAGCCACCAGAGGGCACCACATAAAATACTTAAAAGAATTACCTCCCAAAAGGTGGGGGTGGGGGGGAGGCTTATAGGATGAAATACCAGCTGCACAGAGAGTATTTAAGGAGTCAAAATGTTTGTTAGATACCTGATCTTATCCATCCCATGTACCTGACTCAACAGGAATAAAAGTATAAGATATTAAGATACTAATAAAATGAAAGCCAAAATTCAACTGTGGAGGAAGTTAAATGTTATTGAGATTTCCTGTATTAAAACCTGACTAGGTTTCTCAGTTTTGTTTATATCCATAGTAATACAATAAATGGGTAGAGAATACCAAAGAGCCCAATGAGTAGTTTCAGTTAAACTGGAAGCAAATGATAGTCATAGTCTAAACATCTGTTATTTCTTTCTTCTAAAAGGAAATAATGCTATCTCTGCATATTGTCAGTTAATCAATCACCAATTTAGCTGACCAAAAGGAATTACCACAAATCATTCCAGTTCTTTTGAAAGAAGAAAATTCTCAGAATTATCCAAATTTTTAAAAGGCAGAAAATATTTTCAACATGAGAAGAAAACAGGATGCTTTCAAACTAGCTACTTCAGAGCCCTGACATGGAGTTCAAATTGAAGATAATACTGCAGCCGAAAGAATAGTCATAGAGGCAAAGCTTAATGTTCATTTCTTTAACATGACAAAGAAATGTCTTCCTATCCCAGTCACAGGAAAAGAAAAACGTAACCTCATTTCAAACAAACAGGATTGCTACTATAGAAATGTCAACAAAATATAAACGAGAGGTAGGTGATTTAAGTCACTGTTCAAAGCCTAAGAGTTTTAGTTAAGTTAAAAATACTCAAAACTGGAACCTAGACTTGTATTCTAAGCACTGATTCACTTTATCTCTTAAGTGAGGTCCATGCTTAATAGTTAAAACCGTGCTCAGCTTTATCAAATCTATCATGTTGGCATGTTTGTTTCTGCAACATCTGACTAGAAGAGGGTTGGCTGACACCACAAGTGGAACTTCCCGTGGGTCATTCATCTACAGGGTGTGGTGGGTTTAGTTTTCTGGCTTGTGTGAGAGCGCAAACATGAAGTTAGTTATAGAGGTTACAGTTTCTTACAATTATAGTTAAAATATAAATTGGCTACAAACAATTTTTATAGTAACCATTTCAAAGCATTTTCAAAGTTTATCTACTCAGCCTTACATGTGGCAGCTGTAGGTAAGCTCGCACTGCGACCCCAGGTGTGGCAGTTGTAGGTAAGCACGCACTGGGCCCCAGGTGTGGCAGCTGTAGGTAAGCACGCACTGGGCCCCAGGTGTGGCAGCTGTAGGTAAGCACGCACTGGGCCCCAGGTGTGGCAGCTGTAGGTAAGCACGCACTGGGCCCCAGGTGTGGCAGCTGTAGGTAAGCTTGCACTGGGCCTCAGGTGTGGCAGCTGGTAAGCTTGCACTGGGCCCTAGGTGTGGCAGCTGTAGGTAAGCTTGCACTGGGCCCCAGGTGTGGCAGCTGTAGGTAAGCTTGCACTGGGCCCCAGGTGTGGCAGCTGTAGGTAAGGCCGCACTGGGCCCCAGGTGTGGCAGCTGTAGGTAAGCTTGCACTGGGACCCCAGGTGTGGCAGCTGCCAGGTAAGCACTTCTGGGCTGTGTGTGTAAAAAACACTAACCTGAGGAAGGACCTAAAGGCAATACCTGCCTTTTTTAAAAAAATGTTTTTATTCATTTTTTAGAGAGAGATAGAAACATCGATGTGAGAGAGAAATGCCCCCCACCGGGGATCGAGCTCGCAACCCAGGCCTGTGCCCTGACCCGGAATCAAACTGGAACCTCTCAGTCCATGGGATGACGCTGAATCCACAGACCACACCAGCCGGGCAAGGCAATACCTGTTTTATTGTTAAGTTTTGTTGTATTTATAAAAACTTTTAAAAATGAAAATAGATACTCTATTTTCTCAAAGTAAATATGTGTATTTTTTTTCATTTTCACAAAACTTATCTGAAACACAAATTAAAAACCAAGCATCAAAGTAACTTGTCTAATCTGCCCTGGCTTATTTCATCTGCAGTAAGTTTTTCAGTGTATGATGGTCCAACGATCCTTTTTTGGCCTGTCTTCCAGGCTTGCTGTGATAATTAAGTGGGATAGGGTTATATGAAAGAGCTTTGAAAATACCAAGGCATATAACATAAACTTAAGAGATACTATTGGAGTAGCCCTGGTATTACAGGTATTAGTTTAATAAATAAAAATAAATAAAGCTATGTGCACAAAGCTTTATAGTTCAGTGCTTTAATCTTAACTAGCAACACTGTGAAAAAGTGTTCTGCTGCTTCTTTAATTAGTACAGAAGTGGCTTCTTTTTTTGTTTGTTTGTTTCTTTGTTTTTTTTGTTAATCCTCACCTGAGGATATTTTTTCATTGATTTTTAGACAGAGTAGAAGGGAAGGGGGGTGGGGGGAGAGAGAGAGACAGAAACTTTGATGTGAGAGAAACAACCATATGTTGTCTCCCAAATGACCCCAACCAGGGCTGGGAATCGAACCTGCAACCCAGGTACGTGCCCTTGACCAGAAATCAAACCTGAGACCCACAGGCCAACACTCTAACCGCTGAGCCAAACTGGCCATGGCTAAGTTGCTTCTTTAAGACTGCATGGCTATGATGTAACAGAACTCAGGACTGAACCAGACTGAGGCTAAATCCAGTGCAGCCCCCGCCTGCTACAGCAGTACTGTCAGGCAGAAGTAGAATTTGATCCACAAACACAATCCATGCATACAATTTTAGATTTTCCAGTAACCACAGAAAACTAAAAAAAAAAAACCCTTGATTTTAATATAATTTATGTAATAAAATATATCAAAATATTATTTCAACATGTAATAAATATAAAGTTGAGATTATTTTACATTCTTTCTTTTGGTACTGAGTTTTTCAAATCTGATGTGTATTTTATATGAACCATGTTTCAAGTGGCTGCCATATTAGACGGTGCAGGGTCTGCCCATACCTCCTTCTCTTTAGTGTGACAGAATTAGTTATAGGGTAGTTTGTATTTAAATACAAATCATTATGAAAAATAGAATAAACCAAATGAATCAAAACAGATTTTTTATAAAAAAATAATTCCTTTAACATATAATTACAACGGAATTATTTAAAACATTAAATTCTCCTAATTTCAAGCATGATTTAATTTACAAAAATTTGGAACTGAGCATTGCTGTTCTAAACCACATCATTACATATAAAAGAAGGATGGTCTACTGTACACAGTTATATATATATATTTTTTTTTCCCTCACCTGAGGACACCTTTCGATATTTTGTTCAGATAGAGTGGGAGGCAGAGAGAGAGAGAAAGAAACATCGACGTGAAAGGGATACATTGAGTGGCTGCCACCCACACAACCCAACCAGGGCCAAACTGCAACCGAGGTACGTGCCCTCAGCAGGAACTGAACCTGGGTCTCTCTGGACTGCAGGCCGATGCGCTTACTGCTGAGTGAAACCGGCCAGGGCTGTATACAGTTATATTAACTTAAAAAGAAACCCTGACCTTTGGAGGAATAGAAGGAAAAATTTCAACTTGTCAAAAATTCCTCAATTCCCAAAGGAAGACTGTCAATAAGAAGTGCAGAAATTCAAGAAAGAAATATTACACGAAATTATTATTTTTCAACAACCTGACTGACTCACACATGAGTCATGAGGATATAATGTACAGCACAGGAAATACAATCAATGACATTGTAATAACTTTGTGGAAAAAATGGTGATAATAGGGAGGAAAAAAACTGACCTAGCCACCATTTTATAAATTTGGTAAATCAAAACTAATTTAATCCAGTTTCCTTATAAGACTTACTAACTAGGCAGAAACTGGTTCATGCCACAGATGTACAACACGATAAATGATGAAAACTACTTTTTAAAGGTATTTTGAAAACCTAAAAGTCCCATCTGAAAAGATGAATGTTTTGAATGAAGAGATCATGGTGACCTGACCTGTGTATGCATCTGGAAAAGTCTGCTGTTGTTTGTTCATTTGGTTTTGGCTTAGAAGCCACCAATAGCGTTTTTTTCTATCCCACTTTTCTGAAAAATTTAAGTTGCTGGGTAACTTAGGATTCAGCGTAATTTATTAAAAATACAATGCAAACAAAATAGTGATACAATGAAAAAGATTATTCTAAAAAATCCATTTTTATTAACTTTTAAATATATGTGGTTAGTATCCAGCAAAAATTATTCTAAGAAGAAAAAGTTGAGAGACTTGTTTTTCTATTTCCAGAAACCATTTAGAGTTACAATACAGAGAGGACATTAATAATAAAATGAATAATAAATTAATTATTAATATAACAAATAAATTAGTGTATATAACATACATTAATGATTAATCATTTAAAATAATTTAAACTTACTAGAGAAGTCAGTCCTTCATTATCAACAATCCAGTCTTCCTTTTCAGCTAACCTCTTTATTTCTGTAAGGAGAATAAATACATACAAGTACTTTTTATTATAGTTATCTCACTGAACTTTCTAGAGATAAAAATCTATAGGTTATGGTTTTTAATTGTTTTTCATAGAGTTGTAAAAAATTGGTGAAATTAGGTACAGAATATAATTTTGGTAGACTCAAGGATTCAAATGTGTCTTGTTCACTAGATTTTTGTAATCATTTTTGACTACTTAGTCCATTTTGGAGAATGTGAGGCTAGATTTAATAATAACTTTAGACAATGTATTATTTATTCAGCACTCTTGGTAATATTAAATATGTACAAAATACTATACAATATTTTTCCCCTAAAACTTCTAATGAACAATTTAGATTCTGTTTTAATCCTGTACACTTCTGAACGGCAGTCTGTTTCTCACTCGGCTAAAGGAATGTGACCTGTTCAAACCTTTAGCATTGTGGTCTGTTTCAGATTCCTGACAGGAGGAAGTGATGAATTAAGAAGATACTGTTCAGTTTTTCACCTGATTCCATTCCCTTTCGGGTTACAGTGTATTAGTCATCAATTCTGTACAGATATGAACTTCCTACTGACAGACAGTAATAATGATAGTCCTGATGATAGTAATAGTTTATGTCATTTATAACAATGTCGTTTGTTTTTGAAAGTATTTAATACCCAAAGGGCAGCTTTGTAAAGATAGTCTTTTCTATTGTTTTTACTTAAAACTTGCCAAAAGGATGTTTTTATAACTTAAATATTTTTCAAGTATATCCATCTTTATTTCTGTACAGTCTGGTAGCTCAAGTTTTTAACAAATTCCTTTTGAAAAAATCCTATTGAGCAGCTACAGATATTCAGATTTCCATAAAAATAATTTCTTGTTTTCAAGGACTTGGAAGCTAGAAAGAGGTGGCATATTCAGATAATCATTGTCCAGTAAATGTCATCAATTTTTCTTAATATACCTTCTGCCGTGTGCTGCAACGTGACCATCACACAACGTACTCGGAGGTCCAAAATGAGATCCTGGATAGTCTGTAACATGTCATTAGGAATTTCAAGTGCAGTCAGCGATTCATAAGTAAGCCTGTGAAATCCCACAACGGAAGAAAAGTGAGCGATGCAAGCATAAGCAGTCCCTCTCATCATCCTGGCCATCCTAGAATGATTCATTATGGAGCCGAGAAGCAATAGTATGTTGAAAAGAAGGTAAAAGTATGATCATAAGAGGGATTATAATATAACAGTAACGCTAAATTACACAATAAAGATGCATATCTAGTATTACATTCTCATCAAACATGAGACCTGCTAGAAAACACATGGGAAACAGTGGAGGCAGAAGGACAGAAAGTAAAATTCTTCAGACTGTATTAAAAATTATATCCCATCCTGAGTATTTATTTTTTTTAACAGACAAAAAAAATCTACCCCTTTCAGGAAAATGTGTCCATATTTACCTTATGGTCTGGATGACATGAGTGAGCCACTGTCCAGAGAGCTCAGACTTCACGTCCCAGCCTCCATACTGCTTCACTCCCCCCTCTGGGACGCTGAGTGGGAGCAGCGCTCCACGGACCAGCTTCACGAGACAGTGCATTACTTCCTGAATCATTTTCTACAATAATAAATACGTAAACTGCATTAAAAGTCACTAACTTGATTAAATCAAATGAAGAATTCTGCTTGAGTGATGATGAATATCTTGAACATAAATAAACTCTTCTACTATGATTGAGAAAACCCTACCCTGTGAAAAAGATTAAATACTTAACCTTAACTTACCTTAAAATCATTTTGTCTTTGCCTGACATTCTTTGATCTTTCAATCTGGCCTGACTTCTCAGCAGTCTTAAAAATTAAAAAACAAACAAACATTTATCTTTAGAAATAATTTACAAAAATAAGAAATGCTTGAGGATTGTATATAAAAATGCATGAAATACGGTTGTAACTTGTTTAAAAAGAATATATGTGTAAGAAATAATCTAAATTTCTGATTATAGGATACTAATCAGAAAACCTTTCTTATTACAACAAGAAGTTGTTCATCTTCCTAAAACATTATGTACAATTCCCATAAATGAGCCAAAGTATTCATTGAGACTATCTTTTTTCGTAGAAAAATTTCATGTGTCATTTTCATCAAAAATTTTATATGGTTAAACCTAAAAGTATTATACCCATGATAGCATTCTCAACATCATTTCTCACTGACTAGGATGAAAATAAAAGAAAGAGCACTCTGGATTAATGTCTAGTAATCTCAGGACATCCATTCCATTCCTTTGACAAATATTTATGAATATAAGCATTATATCTGGCATTTTATTTTTAAAACTTAAAAATCATTGTTCTTCAGAGGTTTTACAGTCTACCTGAAGAATATATTACAGAATTCTAAAATTAATTTTTTATCTGTTTACTGATAGCCATGATTTCCTCTGATATTTCTCGTCTTAAAGTAATATGTAGATGACCATATTGCATTGATTAAAGAGAAATCTATTCAATTGAATTTCAGTTAACTTTTTATTACCAAATTTTCTAAGAACTAAATATTATTATATAAAGTGCCTTAGAAAGGCAAGTTTAGGAAACTTTCCAAATAAAGAAGTAGTAACAAAATGGTACAGTGTAAAAAAAAAAAAATTCTGGTATTTTATTAACATAATGCAAAAGCTATCCTCTAAAGTTAAAGTATTCATGTATTAGTGGTTAAAGACAAGTCAAGAGAACTTTCACATTAAGAATAATTGGATTACAAATAATTATGATATTGACTTGAAGTTAATTTTTCTTCCAAGAGACTTTTTTTCATTTATTGATTTTAAAGAGAGAGGAAGCGAGAGGGAGAGAGAGACAGAAACATCAATGAGAGAGAACATCGACTGGCTGCCTCCTGCATGTCCTCCACTGGGGATCTGGCCCACAACCTGGGCATGTGTCCTGACCTGGAATCGAACCGGCGACCTCTTGGTGCGTGGGTCGACACTCAATCACTGAGCTACACCAGCTGGACTTGAAGTTAATTTTAAAACATAAGTAATGCTAATACATTTTATGTATAAGCTAGAAACACAGTGTATAGAGTTGGTTTATATAACGAACATTATTGATGTGAATGCAAAAAGAAAGGATTGTGAATGTTTTCAACAAAAGCATCAGACATACCTGGTCAACATACACACAGACACACAACTCTTCAGGCTCTAATTTACACTGAATTTAAACTTTTCTATTAAAGTTTGCAATTTTTATCATTTTTTCTTTGTAGAAGTACTTTTGCTTTGAAATAATTGAACTTTAGTTTTTGAAAAAATCTAAACTCAAAATTTACCTCAACGATAATTAAATAAGCAAATTCCTAAGGTTATTGGCAAACAACACTCAAAATTCTTTGTACACTGCGATTTAACTTAGAAATTGATGTTTCTGTCCCTTTATCTTTAAGACAAACTGAAGTGCTTTACAGCTACAGTGAGAAGTGACAGGAGGGACAGAGTTAAGAGCATGAGTGCCGCACTGAACCAGACTAGAGGAGGTGAACAAGGGGCCAGGGGATGGCTGAGGCACAGGCGTCTGAAGCAGAAGTGACTGCACCCACCGGGTGTTTCCGTGAGAAAGGAGAGATTCAAGAGTGACTTCCATCTAAGTCCAACCACTCAGGTAAGTCCAAATGGCCCTGGTGTCTGTTAGCCTACTTTCTGTTTCTGTCAGTGTGATGCTCTGATTCAAAATAATACTTGGTGACAGAGTGCCCTAGGTGTCAAAAAGCAGGCACGTGGCCCTGCTCACTGGGCTGATAAAGCGCTATACTCTAAAGGTTGAGTTTTTATCAGGTCTCTGTCTTAAGCACTTACTCTGCTTTCTTTATGCTCTCTCAACAATTTATTCTCACAGCTTCAAATATCATTTCTATCCAATGCCTTCTTCCTATTTTGGGCTCTGCACCCAGTTCCAACGTGTATGTGTGAGGGGGATTTGAGGGGTTCCCCACACCAACAAATACTTCTCCAGACCTCAGCAGGGTGTCCATAATTTAACTCAATTTTGACACAACCTGAAGTCAAATTCCACAGTTAATGGTTCAGTCCTACAAGACTATCCCCTCCAAACACACATACACTTCAAATGCCAATCACAAGCCCAGGCTGTCACCTGTCTTTCTGACTGACTAGATGCAGACTGGAGGTTCCTATGAACCCCTCCTCGGTTTCAATTACTTTGCTAGAATGGCTCACAGAACTCAGAGAAACGTGATACTCATTAGATAACTGGTTTATTATAAAAGAATATAGCTCAGGAACAGACAGATGAAATGATGCATTGGGCAGGGCGTGGGAAAGGATACGGAGCTTCCACACCCTCTGAGCAGGCCACTCTCCAGGAATCTCCACATGTTCACCAACCCTGAAGCTGTCTGAACCTTTTCCATTTGGGTTTTTATGGAAGTTCTGTAAAATCACTGGCCAGTGCTGGCTAAGCTCAGTCACCAGCTATTTAGGAGGTCTGGGAGTGGGACTGAAAGTTCCAGCCCTCTAGTCACATGGTTGGTGTTCTAAAGAACCATCCCCCATCCTCAGGTGGGGACCTAAGCCACCTTATTAATATCACAAAAGACACCTTTGTTATTCCTCACTTCAGAAATTCCAAGGGTTTCAGGAGCTCAGTGCCAGGACAAAGACCAAATAGATACTTATTATAAATCATATATCACACTTTCAAGTTTATATATACAGTCCAACTCTTTCCTCTGACTATTTGAATTTCAGACTGCCTACTTGATATTTCTTCTTGAAAAAAAATCACAGGAATTTCAAATGCAACACATTAAAATTAAAAACTGATATTTTCCTTCGAGTATGTTCTTTCTCAAGTCTGACTATGAAAATGGCATACCTACTCAGTTGGGAGCCTCTGAGAGTTATATGGATCCCTGTCCTCATCATCCTCATCCGATCTGATCTATCAGTAAGTCAGGTCAACACTACTTCCAAAATACAAATAAAATCTATCATTTTCTCCCCAACTCTACCGAAAAATCTTAATCCAACTACCGTCTCCTGGCTGGACGGCCTCAAGAGCATCCCCCGCTTGACTTTTGTTCCTTGCCAACTCATTCTTGAACAAGGCACCAGAGTAATCTTTTTAAAACTGAAAAATCTGGCCAGGAATTCTAACACTTAGAACTTTTCCATGGTTTCCCACAGAACTTAGAATACAAACCCTTCACCCTGCCTGCTCCTCTGCCTCAGCTCTCACTTCTCTGGATCTACTCACCCACTGCCCAGGATGCTCTGGATGCCATGACTGTCCTTCTGCCAAGCTCTTTTCCTCAGGTTTGTGTGTGCTGTTCTCTCTGCCTAGTGTCCTCTTCCCCTGATCCTTTGGGTGGCTGTCTCCTTCAAGTTTCAGTTTTAATATCACCTCCACATAGAGACCTTACTGACCTCTATCCCACCACCAATATTCTTTATGTTAAGACTCTATTTGTATCTATCTATTACAGCTGTTATCAAAATTTAGGATGGAGTGGAGAAGTCATGTTTACCATGGTCACTATTTTACTTATATTGTATGCAAGTATATTAAAATCTGTGTGTGTGTATTATATGTGTACATGTCTGTGTGTGTGTATGTGCATGTTTCAGTACCTGGCACACAGAGGCTCTTCAGGGCATTCAATAAATATTTGTGAATAAAGTATCACCAAGGGTTAGGGTCCGTCAGAACCTCCTGGAGTAGAACACAATGGCTCTGAATACTACCAGGTTAATTAAAAGGACTTTTTTAAATAACTGAAGTCCTGAGTCTCCACATGACAGACGGACCCTTTGAAGATCTGTGGGGCATAATCCCATGACGTGCTCCAGAAATGTCCAACAGACTCCATGCTTCTCCTAGAGATTTAACACGTCAACAAAAGGGAGAAGAGGTTTAAAAATTTTGTGTGAATGTTGGAGGTTGGGAGGACTGTTTCAGGTGTGGAATTCAGATGTGGCTGAGGTGCCCAGCACCTACTTCAGTGTCAGGAGGCACAGAACAACATTGGCATCCTGTACTAGGAAATCTATATTAAGGGCTTTGTGATGGTTTAATTCTTTGTGTCAATTTGATTGGGCCATGGGTATCCAGATATTTGGTTAAACATTACTCCGGTGTGTCTGTGAGGGTGTCTCTGGATAAGATTAATATTTGAATTCATAAGCTGAAGGAAGCAGCTTGCCTTCCTCGGTGTGGTGCGTCCCATCCAATCAGTGGAAGGCCTGAATAGAACAAAAAGGCCAAAGTAAGGGGGAATTCCTATAGCTTGATGGCACGACCTGGGACATTGGTCTTTTCCAGCCTTCAGACTGAAACTGAAATACGGGTGATTCCTGGGTCTCAAGCCTACTGGCCTTCAATTGGGAATGACACAGTGGGCTTTCCTGCGTCTCCAGCTCACTAACTGCAGCAGATCTTGGGGCCTGTCAACCTCCATAATCACATGACCCAATCTCTTTCTCTTTCTTTATATGGTTGGACACAGAACCAAGATCCTACTAGCTCTGTTTCTCTGAACCCAAATATAGACACCTGGGTTAGTGTGCTATGGAGGAGGGGATGGAACTGTGAAAGAAAGGTGTTATTCATCTCAATTGAAGGGTCATGCCAATGTAAAATGGTTAAGTATATTGACTGTCAGATGGTGTCTTTTCTAGTTGTATCTACCACATGACCTAATACTTAACTTTTCACATAGTGGGCTTGTTCACTGGGAAGATTATTTCATAGTCTTTTGTGAAATATTTTCAAATCAAAGAAAAAAGTGATAATCAATTATTAAAATTCACCATGTCAAAATTAAGGCTGAATTTTTCCAGAACAATTTTGCCCACCAAACATGTGCTAATAAATGCATGATGCCATCTACTGCACAAAATAATTCCATGAATTTCAAGGACCTGTCTCTAAATATATGAAAAATGGAGGGGAGAGGGGAATTAGCTGTAAGACATCCTCTTTCAACTGTTAATTAAAAAACCGCTTGTTATTGTTTTAATCTAATGAAGACACCTCCAACATACTAAATTTTGTAAGGTTTGCTCTATTTTTTAATCTAATTTTGGAACATAAAGTGCTATATACTATAAATTATAAAACTTTTTTAACATTCTGATTCTTACTACTTAAAAATTATTTGGATGCTTTAAATTTTTTCACCCCAAATACACTGTATTTAAAACATATCTAAAGGTGAGATCTTAACCTACTATTAACCATTTCGTTAATTAAAAACCTTAACTCTTTCCTGCACACACAAACCAAAACTACTTTGTGGTGAGACCAACGGCTAGATTTCACTGTTTTGATTCACATATGTTACTTTACATGGGCTTGACTGGTTTGAGGAACTATTTTTTAAACTGTTGAAAACTCCATCTAAATCTTCAACAGATAAGCTATTAATAAAACAAAATAGTTCTATAACAAGAAAAATAAAAAATTTCAAGTAAATTTTGTTTTTTAAATATTAGAGAACTTTCTTGTATGAGATTAAATGGCAACTATCAAAAGCCCAGAACTCTTCCCAAGTTTAATGTGATTAAGTTTCTGGCTCTCACTTACAGACTGAAATGGTAGTCACACTTTCCTAACTCCTCCATTCTTTTCTACTGCCCTTTGGTATCTTTCTAGCTTTTCAATAGAAGGTGAATAGTTTATAAACATGCCCAACTATGTAGAGAAATTATATTTAATTGATAAATATTACTATAAATTTTTAAGAAAAATTTATAAATATAAATAGGTAGAAATACCAGAGGCATGTCCACCTCAGTACAACTCATTAAAACAATTTTCTCAGTACTAATGTTCATGAGTTCGGAAGAAGCTCATTTATTTAACTACTAGGTATAACCCATAAAGAAGGAAAATGTATTTATTCTTTTTCACTAAAATATCTCAGACCAAAAACACTTGGGAAATTTTACAAACTCTAAAAAGACCCATAATAAGGCAACTACTGTCAATGTGTGGTGGGCCACCTATAGGAACAGATCCAATCAGAAGGAAAAAAACACTTGGCTGAAAAATAACTAGGTTTAAAATCCATTTCCTCAGGGAATAATTCTTCAGATGATTTACTCCATCTTGACATTATTCACCACTAATCTAGCAGTTCTTCAATCCAGTATTTCTTAATGCTATTAAACTTTGTTCACTGAATACCTATTATGTACCAGGACAAGGAGATGTCAAATAATGGAATAAATATTTATTCCAAATAACAAGAGCAAATTCTTATTTATCTTCCAGACACTGTAATAAGCACTTCATTTATGTTAACTCATTTAATTCTCAAACCAGCTCTATGGAGTAGGCAAAGAGAAGTAAAGTTACTGCTAAGGTCACAGCTAATAAGTGATAAATATTGGGTGTTTACTACAACATTAATGTTCTTTAAGAAAAGATGTGAACACTATTTGCCCAAGGCACTGATATGGAAGCATCTCACCTTTCTAGTCCTCAGATAAGCAATGTGCGTTAGAGATGGAGCAGACCAGAGAGGAAGCTATGACACCATGTGAATGGTGCAGCAACCCCCCCCCTCCCCCGCCCCCGTGGGAGAGCAAGAAACCCAAACCTGCCCTCAGCATAGCAGCCACACAACTACCATCCCGTGGAGATGAATAAAAATGTGAACTGACGGGGAAATGTCTGAAAGCAGAGCTGAGAAATGTTTTTCAGGACACCTCAAAAACAGAAATTAAAGCATTTTCCTCCTCAGCCAGCAGTAAGCAACCCTCCATTTTTTTAAAGTCAGCCAAATTCTACATTAATTTTATGGAAGACTTTCTATGTATAGTTAACTTTTCAACAGACCTTTTACATAACCAAGTGATACAAAAAGAACTTAAGAAAGTTGTGATGTATATTATTAATTGTTATAACATTTAAATGTTCACTTAGTACAGTAACTAATACACTGCTGAAATTAAAGAAAGAAAAAATATACGGTGATAACTCATGTTTAAGGGGTTGATTTTTCTAAGGAAGTTGTTTTTTGATGCATTGTCATTTTTCTGTTTTTTTTTTTCATGCACTAAGTAAATTTTATGGTTTAGATAACTAGCCATTCATATAAAGAAGAATCAAGAGATTGACTAGGTTTAAAAGAGATAGTGGACAAATAAGAATTAAATATACAATGGGAAAAAAAAAACCAAACACACACACACAAAAACAACTCCAGAGACCAACTCTACTTCTTTAAGAGTAGCATGAATGTATGTCCACAGTCAAACAACACTGGATGGACCACGGGAGTACCAACATACCCCAACCACCTTTTACCAAGGAAGAGGTCTTGAACCACAAAGGTAAGCCTCAGTACAAAAAAGCATAAACTGTTTAACCTTTTCCACATCTATTTTCTGTGCTGGCAAGTGCAAAAGAAGAAGGAAGAAGATCCCTATCTCCCCAGCTCTCTCAAGGCTGTAGAGAGTTCTCTCTGGAGACAAAAAACTAGAGCTGCCTGCTCCGCGTTACAAGCGAGCCTCCCTAGCAGCTGGAGGCAAGGCCATTCGAGGGTATAGCGCAGGACCTCAGGGCCTTTCTGGGGCACTGAAAGTAAGACAACAGAGTGAGGAATCTAAGTTCCAGGTGCTATAAAGAGAAGTCATAACTTCTGTGCTACCAATTATATTATGATTAAGACACTAAGTAAATGTGTGGCTTGTGAAAATATAAAGGCTTATAAAACTTCTGTGGAATGATTATGAGGGCTAAATAACAGAATCTTTAAATTCTTTCCAACTAGGAAATCACATTATTATATCAATTATTTCTAATCTGTGTGCAAGCTGCAAGCATTTCATCCCTATTGTACATTTGTTCATAGTCCACTGCACAATAATCTCTCCCAAATTTTGCCTAACACTATACTTAATTCAGAATCATTGAAAACATTTCAAATTTTCTGACTAACTCATTTAATGATCACAATCATCTTTTGAAATAAATGCACTCAATATTTTTTTTACAGTTGAGGAAACTAAGTCCCAGAACAATGAACTTGTTCAAGGTTATACAGCTATTAAGTGTTAGGGCTTTAGAAAACTTTTAACTAATCTTAAAATATCTGACAAGAGTTATAGGTGTTGTGCCTTGACGGTTGTAAAAATGTCACTTCAGAATCTAAAATTTTAAGACTAAAATTCACAATGACTTACCTACATCTACAGTCATAATTGTATACATACCTCACTGAAAAGGCTTCCATTAACATATGAAATCCAGAGCTTCCAGAAGTTAGGCAGCTGACTTAAAACAAGTTTGGTCAATTTTTCAACAAATGCTACCCGGTGGGGAGATTTGTATCTCCATGCTAAGGGGGAAAAAGAATAAAACACTATAAGTATACTTCTAAATCAGGAATAAAAACCTGCTTAAACATACTGCTACTTCCCCACCTAAAAATGTGTTCCACTTTCGCTGCAGAGCTTTAATAAGCTAAAAGACCAACTTTCCATTCTTCCTGTCACACCAGCAGGGCCTGCAGGCACAGACAGCCACTCTCACCACAGAGCCCTGCTTTCTCAGGGAGACGGGCAGGCAGGAGGGGAGGGACAGACCATCAGAAGGGCACAGCAGCAGATGCAGGGAGGACTTCACAGAGGAAGTTGCTTTGGCTTTTCAACCATGTTGTCTTCAGCATGTTATATTTCTCTTTTAAAATCATGCCTTCAAACAGCAAAGTAAGGCAAAGGCAGGGCTGCCCTACAGCCAATATTTAAATTTAAAGCTGATATCAACTAATGAGAAATGCCACTATATACCCTATGCAATGAAAATTCAGTAAGAAGTCAAGTCATCACAAAGGAACGTATTCAAGCACAATCATGTAATAAATAATTCCTCCCATAACAAAGACATTTAAGACAAAAATAAAAATATTGAAGCCTCCTGGGTTACATGTAATTTAATGTGGTTATTGTAGTAACTGGGAAATAGGTCTTCTAGATTTTTCATAGGAAGGATAAGTCCATGGGAATGAAAACAAATGCAGTAATTCAGTGAGCATTCCTCACTTTCCAGTCTCTCCCAGCTTTCTTTACCCCCCCCTTCCTGTTTCTTCTTCCCTCCATACCCTGCCCCCTGGCTCTATGACTCTGCTCCAGAGTCTCCGACAGGAGCAGGGCAGAGGCATCCTCCCTGTCCAATTTCACAGCAATGATGAGAAGCACTTCTGGTGTCAACTTCTAACTATTCAGCAACTTCAAAGCAAGTCAAGAAAAGGAACTTTCATTGATTCCTCCATCTACTGGCTTCTTTTAAAAATACTCCCAGGCAAAACATTTGTGGTTTCATATTATCACTGTTATTCTAGTGGGAGAAGGGTGGATGCCATTTATTTAAAAATGTTCAATCATTTTCTAAATAGACAGTACATGGTTAGAAAAGAGAACTTAAAAGGTATACAATGAAGTCTACCACCCACCCTCATCCTCCATTGCCCAGTTTGCAACTCCAGCCACAAAAAACAACAACAACAGTTAATAGTTCTTGTGATTCTTTTATATACAAAGGCAAACAAAAATATGTATTCTCCCCACAACCAAAAGTTCTTTTACATAAATGGACGCATACTAAAAATAGTTTTATTTTTCATTTAACAGTGAATCCTAGAGTTCTTCCATATTTCCCCACCACCCCCAAGTTACATAGTAATTCATATTTTGGAAATATCATAATTTAATAAATTTTTCCAGTTAACATTAATGCTTCAGCCAATAAGGTATACCCCATCACTGAGGCACGTGTGCAAGTACAGATGCTCCTCAATTTACAGGGTTATATCCTAATAAGCCCTTTGTAAGTTGAACATATTATAAGTCAAAAATGCATTAAATACACCTAACTGACAGTTTAGCCTCACCTACCTTAAACGTGTTCAGAAGCCAATATACAAAAACAAACAAACAAAAATACCTCAAAACACTGGCAACAGGGTATACTGGAGAGTGTTGGCTGTTTGCCCTCATGACTGCCTGCTGACTGGGAGCCGCAGCTCAGCCTGCAGCCCAGCATCATAGGACAGTGTCGGACCACTTATTGCTAGCCCAGGAAAAATAATCAAAATTCAAAGTATGGTTTCTACTGAATGTGTATTGCTCTCATAACGTCGTAAAGTTGAAATATTGTTAAGTTGCTCCATCATTAAGTGGGGACGGTCTGTGTAAGAACAGAATACATTCTCAGAAAAGGAGGGGCTGGGTCCAAGAGGACAGAGTTGTGGTTTTGATCTGTGTTATTAAATTGACTTCTCCAGGGATTGTTTACATACCCACAAGCAACACGTGCAAGTTATAACTTCCTTCTAGCCTCGCTGATGAGCAAGCAGAACACATAAAACCCAAAACCAGACACTGGTAGTTCTTGCCAAACTATTATCTGGATGTAGTGTTACAATGCTTTTTAGTTTTCATTATGACTGAAATTCAGTACCTATTCATACGTTTAAGAGCCACTCAGACTTCCTTTCTGTGGCCTGTAGAGGCTCTTTATTTATTGGACATATTAGTCCTTTGTCTCCGTTATGAATTATAGGGAAAGCTTTAAATTCAGCTATCATATATGAGAAAGGCATGGCTCTTTACTTGGGGCACACTACAGACTTGTACTTTTTCAACCAGCCCACATTTCCTGACTGTCCACTGTGCGCTAATTCTGTGGTTGCACCCCAAAGTCTGTGGATGATGCTCACCACAAATACTGAACAGCACAGGTCTCCTACAATTAAATGGATAGCTAATGAAAGGAGTCCTAATGGTAACGTGACAGGAGTCTAGTGAGATAAGAGGTATATTTCATCTGAAGACAGACTGAAACAGACTAACTAAATACTGATAAGCACTTACTGCTTTTGTAATGGCTGGTAGCATACTACATAGCACAGGCCATGGCCTAGTGTGTCTTGGGCCAATGACAAGGTAAAAATAGAACCAGAAAATCTAAAAACTGAAAAAGCATTGAAAGACCTGCCACATACAGTAACTAGACTCTTACATGGTTTGTTCCCCAAAACTAATGTTTTAAAAGATATGAGTCCTCCATGCAGCTACACTGACAATGATTTTGTGTATCCCTATTGTGAGAAACTCATCTGGTATGCATATATCATCTATTCTTTGCAGGGATTGTTTCAAATTAAAGTGAAAGCAACCTAACCTGAACCCAAGTCCCCAGGGGCTCTGAAGTTGGGCAAGCTCTTTGCGTAGTCTGGTCTGGCTTAGTACACATCCATATATTCTACATAGACATATATATTTGACATATACAAATGAGGTGGTCTCAATGAGCAGTCTGTCACAGAGAATGCCTCCACCCCAAATAAAAACAGGGAACATAACCTTTTCACCAATTTAAAAGAAAAAATTTTTTGAAAACCACAAAATGAACAAAGTAAACTCAGCTACTTCTCTTGTTAAATCTATCAATTAATGAGTAATCTAGTTGCAATGATTTTATGATAGAAGTATTTAGACAATTTTAAGTAAAAACATAACAAACCAATTCCAAGAGTCTTCCAAAAAGATTCCTTGAGTTGAATCTTTTTATGGCACATTAATCGGTAAAGTGATTATGTCTGAGTTCACTATAGTATGAAGTGTTAACACAGGTATCTACATGGTACTGTCAGATAATCACACTGAGCTGGAAGTTCTGCAATTACTTAATGTGTTGGCACTCAATCACCAAGGCTTCTGGAAAACAGATGGGTTCCTGTTGCCTCCTGCCCAGTGACAGAGAACAATTCTAAGTCTCGTGTTTCAGTTGATCTTTTTATTCCTAGCAGATTCTTTATACCTATGTATTTATGTATGTAATGATAACCTCCCCCTCATTCCTTCTAAGTATACTTCATTCGAATTCTGATCATTAAAATTGAAAAATGATTTTGGATTTTTTTCTCACTGAATTCAACATGCACTAGTTAATTCCCACATGCTATTATCACTGACAGAGTAACTTTAAGAGTTATTTCCTAAGACTGACAAAAAGAACGAAGGGAATATGACAGGAATATCCAACAGAAATTAAAATTATGTAGGTTCATGAATTTTGCTTTGATCACAGAGTTTAGAACATGTTTCTTCAATTTTATTCATACCTACTTTTTCCTATAAGTAATTCTTTACAATGCTCCAAGTTCAAGTAATAAAACATAGATGGAGAGTGAAGGATGGAGCCTGAGTAATCTATGGAGTAATAACTAGAGTCTCAGAAAAGAAAGCAGACAGAAAAATATTTGAGAAAATTACAGGCAAATTTTTTTCAAATTTGATGAAAGTTTCCAGATTTTGATAAAATAAAAACAAAAAGCTTGACAAAATGTAGGTGGGATAAATTTGAACTGTTCAAGGTCATATAATTCATTATAGTCAACTCCAGGTATAATTTCTAATTTATTTGAGCCTGTTAACATGTCAGCTGGTGGTACTGAATTACAAACAGAGAAGGAATGAGGTGGAGAGTGTTTACACCTGAAAAGGAAGTATTTTTCAAAAACTGGTAGGCTGCACTCCAGGGTCAGGCTAGGTATGTATGTTTAGAGGGCCACACTGTGGCACAGAAGGCAGAAGCAAACAGTTCTGTTCTTCCATTGCTTGGTGAGTGGGGTTGAGAAAGTATACAGGACAAGAAGAAGGACTATCAAATAGAAACCCTTCATTTAGTACAAGTGAATCATCTAATTTTAAGGTGTTCTTATAATAAACATTCATTCATATTTACTTATTTATTTCTAATGGTTTTATTTATTTTTTCAGAGAGAGATAGAAACATCAATGTGAGAGAGAGCCATGGATCGGCTGCCTCCTGCAAACCCCCTACTGGGGATCGGGCCACAACCTGGACATGCGCCCTGACCAGGAATTGCATGGGAACCTCTCAGTCCATGGGACAATGCTCAATCCAGAGGCACACTGAACGGGTGCTCATTTACACTTATTAATGAACCTTAAAAAATTCCCTACTTCAGTACTTATAAGAATAACATGAAATACTTCCAAATAAACTTTAAAGATATTTGAATTTAATATGAAAAAAGGTATTTCCATTACTCTATTTGGATTTTTAATTAGAATTATTAAGGTTAGAAATACCAATGACTAATACCATCTAACTGGCACACAAACACTTTATAACCAATACATTTTCTATCTCATATAGGTAAATAAATAATAAGTAAATATCAACATTACAGTTAAAAAATATAACAGTTACAGTTTGATACCTTACCTCATGAAAAAAGATGAACAATTAATTTATGATTGATTAACAACAATTCCTTCTTTCCAAACCAAATTCATTAAAAAGATGTCTTTCTCTGGACTGACTACAGAAATTAGTTTTGTTGCAAAATTCATCTTGAAGAAGTTCTCACATAATTTTTTCTGTGGCATATTTTAAAAAATTAAACCAGAGAAAAACTAAACTATACCTTAAGTAAATATGTTGAGTAAGTACTGAGCCGTGGCCACTGACTTATTAAGAAATCAAATGACATATATTAAATGTACAATGTAAGGTGCATTTAAACTATTAAATTTAATTACTGGGTAGTTACTTAATAAACAGAAAAGATGATGGTTGGTAATATTTAACAACAGTAAGATAACTAATTATGAAAATTTCCAAGGGAACAATGTTTTAAATTGCACAAGAACAAATGTAAAAGACAAAGTGGGGGTAGAGAGACATACTTACTGTCATCTCGACCAGACTGAAAGCTGCTGCCCCTCTTCAGTGATGCTGTCTGACTAAGATGACCCAACACTGAGGGACGTACATCGTTATCCAGATCCACCATGGGACTGTGCAGGCCTGCAGTGCCTGGAAGAGAAGTGACACTCCTATAGGCTCTATGTATTCATACCTAGGTGATTCTCTGTGTTACTTTTTGCTCAATTTTCCATTCTTTTAAATAAAGCATTTACTAAGTAAAATAAAAAATATTTCCTCTAAATAGGTTTAAAAGTCATTCCCGCCCTGGCTGGTTTGGCTCAGCGGTTAGAGCGTCGGCCTGCAGATGAGAGACCTGGGTTTGGTTACCGCTAAGGGCACGTACCTAGGTTGCAGTTTGTCCCTGGCCCTGGATGGGGTCGTGTGGGTGGCAGCCAGTCAATGTGTTTCTCTCACACTGATGTTTTTTTCTCTCTCTCTCTCTCTTTTCCTCCCTCCTTCTCTCCCCGTCTATCTGAAGATAAATGCAAACATGTGCTTGGGTGAGGGAAGGAAGGAAGGAAGGAAGGAAGGAAAGAAGGAAGGAAGGAAGGAAGGGAGGAAGGGAGTCATTCCAATCCTGAAGGATTTGGAGGATCCAATCCATTACTTTGGCTTAATATAGAGATGTAACAAATCATGGGGTGACACTTATGTCTCATTTTAGAATGAATGTGCACCACAACTTGGGAAAAAGATGTTCTAGAAACAAAAATCACTATGAGAAATCACTTTTTGAAAAATGACTTGGCACTTGGAAAGGAAGTCATGGAGGTATGGTTTTCAATGGAGCAAATTTACAGCATAAATCTTTGACTTCTCCTTAAAATTTAAATCCCCAATTCCATTTCTTGCTTTCTTTGGAATGTGGAATTTGTGTCCCTATTTCTATTCCTGGCGCCAGTAAAATGAGTTTTAATCCTTTTCACCTCACACTGTCAATATTCCAGAAGCCTAACATGTCACTATTGTCAAGAAATTTTCTTTATTGTCCTGAATTAATATCACTAAAATATTGCTTTCTTAATTCTCTCCTCAGAAATATTCCAAAGTACTCCCAGAATTCCAACCCAAATTATCCTAAGAACCAGGAAACATTTTTTTCTAAAATTGGTATCAGCTATTAGGAAAAGAATCCCAGTGTTGCTAAATGTGTTAGTAAGACATTCTCTTTAAGTGGTAAAATTTGCCTTTCAGTCTATGGATATACCTATTACCCCGCCCCATCCCACCCTCATACTGAGCTCTTTAGCTGAGCATCTTCAAAACAAGATGAATTAAATAAACAGTTACACAGTATTTACTGTGCGTAGGACACAAATACTCTCCCTAAGAAAATGCATCTTACGTTTTCCTGCTTATTTTCTATTCTCTCTACTTGAAAGGCCTTGCTCCTCTTCTCCCTCTGATGGAGGAAGTGAACTGCCATTTTAACTGAGCCACCAGCTTAGAAATGACATGACCCCTTTCGTTTCCTGCTTCTGTAAGTTGCTTAGCTTTCGCGCCAAAAGAATGCCCCCCCAGCCCGCTATAAAGCTAGGGAGCCCTGCCCTTGGGGCCCAGAATGTGGGGACTGCCTCCTCTGGGTCCACATGTGTGGTGTTTGTCTGCGTGTTTTCTGTTACTCCTCCACTCCAACTCTCACCCTTTACAACCTGAATTACATGTACTACATGAAGTACTGCCTATCTCCAAAACAAAATACTATCTGCTTAGGGATAAGGATTAAGTATTATATCTCTGTCCAGTCATTGGACCTTCTGCAATAATTCCCTCAATATATACTGAGTGGCTGATACTAAATTATTCAATAAAAACCCTATTCCTCATTTTATAAGTTAGTAAAATATTAAAAGCTTATAGGTTTGTTTTCAGGTGCAAAAGATAAAACACATTTATAAAATAATAGTTTTATGCCACTAATAATGTTAGCTATTAAATAACACTGAACAATTATTTACTGGACACCTCCTATGTGCCAGAAACTATACAGACCCTGGGGAACAGATGATGAATAAAAGATAAGGCCCTACTCTCAAGGTGTTTACATTCTGGTCGTGCAGGCAGAAAATCAAGCAATAAGTAAATAAACAAAATACAGTAAAAAGTGCTATGAAGAACCTGTTTCATGGGCTCCTCCTATCATAAGCCCCTTAATGTGATACAATATGAAATATCTCCTTGTATCCTCACAAAGTCTACCAGGTAGATTTTACAGAACTAGAAAGTAAGTCATTTGAATGGGTTTATTTAGTGGAATATAATTTTATTGAAGACTTAACAATGTTTCAACTACTGTGCTAAATGTTTTATTTATATGCATTTCTACTTTGGTGAACATATCTAAGATAAGAAGACTTGTATAATTTAAGAAGACAATAAATGTAATTCAGTGTAAAGAGATACAAACAATGAAAATATAATACTTTTTGGGAAGATGGCGGCAGGCAGGACCAGAGGGAGGGTGAGTGTGTGAGAGTGTGTGAGTGGACATGAAGGTGGACGACCAAACCCGAGCAGTGCAGAGAAGCGGAGCAGAAGGTTCGTGTGCTGTGGACGGAGCAGCCGGCTACCGTGGTAAGCGGCCCTTCAGGGCTCTTTTCCTTGTGCCGTGGGGAGGTCTGACCATTTTGGAAGATCCCGGGTCTTCCCTGGGAGGAGGTAGTGGGAGCAGCTAGGGCCCATCAACCTGAGCCCACCAGCACACCTGGCACCATCAGAGCAATGGACACTCTCTGTCAACACAGACCAGTGCACAGTAGTGGAGCTCTCAAGGTGCTGGTTGCGGAAGCCACGGACAGCCTGGAGCCCGGCACCATCCCCCACAATAGCAGCCCAATCAGAGTCGAGATATAGCCCCAGCAACAGAGGCTGGGGAGCAGACATCCATCCCCAGGCAACAGAAGCACAGACCAGCCGCTGAGAACCATCCCCGAAAACTACATAAAAAGCTGAGCAGGAGTTGAACCCCATGGGGCAGCAGCATTCCCCAGCCGCCAGCTGCAGGACCAGGGGCTCCACAGAGGCCTGTGTGGTCCAGGAGCTCACAAGAGCACTGGGAAGCCTGAGCCCGAGAGAGACTGATGCAATCCAGCTGCCTGCCCTCGGGATCTGCAGGGTGCAGGGGCACCAGAGAGGCCTGTGCAACCCAGCAGGGACTTTGCAATCCAGTTACCCGTGGGACCTGCGGGGTGCTAAAGCACCAGAGAGGCCTGTGCTACCTAGCAGGGACTGCACAATCTAGTTACCCATAGGGCCTGTGGGGTGCTTCAGCACCAGAGAGGCCTGCATGTTCCAGCAGGGACTGTGCCATCCAGTTACTGTGGGACCGGCGGGATGCTGAAGGACCAGAGAGGGCTGTGCAACCCAGCAGGGACTGTGCCATCCAGTTACCCACAAGACCTGCAGGGTGCTGAAGCACCACAGAGGCTTGCGTGACCCAGCAGGGACTGCGCAATCTAGTTACCCATGGGGCTTGTGTGGTGCTGAAGCACCAGAGAGGCCTGCACGAACCAGCAGGGACTGTGCCATCCAGTTATGCATGAAACCTGCGGGGTGCTGAAGCACCAGAGAGGCCTGTGCAACCCAGCAGGGACTGCGTAATCTAGTTACCCATGAGACCTGTGGGGTGCTGAATCACCAGAGAGGCCTGCGTGACCCAGCAGGGACTGTGCCATCCAGTTACCAGCAGGGTCTGTGGGGTGCTGAAACAACTGAGAGGTGTACGCGACCCAGCAGGGACTGTGCCATCCAGTTAACCGCGGATCCTGCGGGGTGCTGAAGCACCAGAGAGGCCTATGCGACCCAGCAGCCCATAACATACACATAGGGGATGTGAAAAACAGAGGGGGAGTGAATAGAAGCTACAAAGATGATCTCCCAAGACCAAACAGGAATTACAGCTAAAATAAGGACAAATTCTGGGGAAAAAGCAACAGAAAAGCAGCAGGACACGACCACATAACCAAGGACCCTGGTAGGATCTGCATAGGAGGCACAAGAGGGTGGCAGGCTGGCAGCCCACAGACAGCAGCAGTTTTAGCTGTGAGCAGCACCCCTGAGGAATATAGACCAACCTGGCTCCACAGTGCAGAGAGCCAGGACAGAGCGCTAAAATAGCCACAGTCACTCAAGCTAAGGCAGAGGGAGGCAGACTGGGCTGAAACTCTGTGGGGACACCAGGGATTTGGAGGGCACTCAGAGTTTTTGCTGAGTTGCGGCCACAAAAAGCAGTGGCCAGTGTGCTCTTTCCCAGAGCTGTGGGGAAAAGCAGCACCTCCCCTCTCAGAGATTCAGCCTTTCCCAGGTAAGGCAAAGAAATGTGAATTGAGGCTCATTAATAACCAGCATATGTCCCATCCTCTGGAAATCCTCTTATGTAGAACAAGGGCTACATTCCAAGGTAGTGAGTAACTGAGATTACTAGACACCAGGGAAAAGCTAGAGGATAACTGAACCTTTCCTGGGCTTGCAAATCTACCCAGGAAAGTAAGACATGATAGTGGTGTTTAACGTGGGCCCACATAGGACCATCCAAGCCCAGAAGAGGGAGCCAAAAACAGCAGAACACCAACACCCACAGGGAAAATTTAGCATGCTCCAAAACACACTGAGATAACCAAAATGGTGAAAGAAAGAAACAAATCCCAAATGAAAGAACAAAAGAATTCAATCGAAGATGAGATCAATGAAATGCAGCTAAGCAAATTATCAGAGGTAGAGTTCAGAGCCATGAGTAAAGATATAGAAATATTGAAAACCAACCAAGTGGAAATAAAGAATGACATGGCAAAAATTAAGAACACAGTGAAAGGACTAATCAGCAGAGTAGAGGAAGCTGAGGACTGGATCAGTGAATTAGAAGACAGGGTAGAAAAAAAATCAACCAATTAGAAAACGAAATGGAAAAAACCATTAAAAAAACAGGAAGACAGCTTAAGGGAACTGTGGGACAACTGGAAACGTAATTAACATTCGCATCATAGAAGTCCTCGAAGAGGAAGAAAATGGGCAAGGGTTAGAGAATATATTTGAAGAAATAGTGACAGAAAACTTTCCTAACTTGGTGAAGGAAGAAGGCATTCAAGTTCAAGAAGCACAGAGAGCCCAAG